GCGATGGTAATTATCTTGGCAGTAAAAACAAAAGCTCTTTTGGCAGGTGTTTTGAGGAGGCCAGCTGAGGCGAAAACTAAACCTCGCCCAGGATCGAATTATCTCGAGAAGCCTTGTCAGAATTGCTTAATTCCAAAGCACAAATGTAGTGGATAAAATCGGATTTTCAGCTTGCTAATCAGCCACAGCAAGATCAAAGTGATGCTTCGAAGAAAGAGAGAAAGAAAGATATCAAAAAATAAGTAAAAGAATCTGCGAGGCTGGATTGTTTTCTTTTGGATTCTCTTTCAACACGAGATAATTGATGAGTTACAAATTGTATCGGAATAGCAGACAAGACTTCGGATGAATTACCAAAAATAAATACGGAAATAGATTGTTATTTTCGCTCATTCTGGCACTGCAAAAGCAAGAGATCGATATAGTCTACAGCAGGAGAAAATACGGAAAATAAGAGATATAATACTGAATGGCCACGAGAGTGCGAAGCTATGACGAAAGATTTTTTGAAAGGGATATCCGACGAACATCGTGACGCTGTTTTTGATGTGATGCAGTTATAAATATAATTCAAATATAATTACATGAAACACTACAGGCGTAAAACTAACCTGTATTAGCACCCGGCCTGTGAATTTGAACATTAATAGTTCCTGAATGATGATATATTGTTAAAAAAGTGTTGAAAGTCGAGTGGGCTTATACGTCAAAATCAAATAAACATATTGTAGGTGCAACAAGGAAAATTTTGGGAAACACTTGAGGATCAGTGCAGGGATGAATAACACATCAACTGATGTGCGTATGTTTAAAAACGAGAAAGAAAGATCCAGAAGTGACGATCAAAGCACGGTTGTTTGAGACAAATAAAGACACGATACAAAGTCTTCTTAGAGTTGAAGTAAAAACAATAGAAAGTGCCAATCGTGAGGGAAAGCAGCAACAATGGCAATACTATGTTGATGACAACACCACTATCTTGATGACTATTCGCAAGGACAGTTCGAAAAGAAAAGTTTAGCAGAAACGCGTTGCTAAATGAGATACAGTTCACATGATTGCTCTATTACTTACAAAGCTACATCATCTATAAGAATCGTTTAATTTTGTTCAAGAGCAGCTAGAAGCGACATAAATCTGGTCGTCAAAACAAATGCTGGAACCCTTCCCTTAGTCTGATCTCCGAAGCCTTGATTATCGAAAATCAAAGAAACAGCTGCAAATTATATTTCGTGTGCAATCGATATTCGAGATACAATGGTAGTTAATGACAACTAGATTACGTGGAAACCAGAAAGCCTAAATTCCTACACCTAATTTAATAGGGTACGTAATTCAAATGGCTTTGTTTTAGCCCGTAACACATTGAATTCAATTTAAAAGCGTTCAGCAGCACACACAAATGCCCGGAACAGACTAAAGGGAACATATTCGAAGCGTGTAAACATTCGAAGGTGCCTGAAACACGAGTCTTAGTCACAATAATAATTGATTTTTCATGATATTGATGATTTGTGATTGTGCGTTAAATGCTGAGCACAAAGGTATATGTATACACACTACAGTGCTCTGGAAGAATGGCTGGATCAATTTTTGGTGTCAAAGATGAGCTAAAATATACAAAGCCAAACATGAGAGTGTACTCTCCGATGCTCGAAGCGTTAGTAAAAGGAAATGCAGAACGAGTGAAACTTTTTCTTAAAGTTGGCGTTAACCCCAATCAAAGGGATGCAGTAGGCCGTACACCACTGATCATTATAAGCTACTACACAAATGAAAATAAGGCTGGGTTACTGGCTAGGCACTTGGTAAAACACGGTGGAAAAATAGATTTCACTGATACCAAAGGAAAGAATGCATTGCATCATGCGTGTGAAAAGGGTAGAACGAAATTGGTTGATACCTTGCTTAAGTACAAAGATCAATATGATATAACGGTACAAGATAAATCAGGAAAAACCTGTTTTGATTATGCAGAGATATCTGGAAGCTCAGACATTTCAGCAATGTTACAGTCATTAGCAGACGAGTATTGTTGGAGCCAATGTATTTGCTCAAGTAGGACTGACACTGCGATGGAAACTACCTCACCTATAAATGGACACACGAAAGATTTCGAGGCACTCAGTAAGTCAGATATTGGGGTAACTAAAAGCAGAGATGATAGAAAGTTAGAGAAACTGCCAAACGTCAAAAATGAAACAAAAAAAGCAACAACTTGTTCGCATGAGAAAAAAATCGATGAAAAAATGGAAGCACAAGTTAAGGACAGTGAAATCGAAACTATAGGGTGGCAACCAGAAATGATGAGATCCGCTTGGAATTTATGGGCAAAAAAGACAAGAAAAACAGCATGGAACATAGCTAAGAAAAATTGTTTAACGAGGTCGTTAAGACATTGTATGTCGGAGCCCCATCGCAGGGAAAAAAATTTTGACTTAACAACCGACAAGATGGTCAAACGATCTAATTCAAGCACAGTACACTCAAATTCAGCGCAAAGACACACAGATGGTGAAACGGCAATATGTTCAACGACAAAGCAAATTGATATCAGTAAAGTCGGACTTGGGAAGGAAATAAAGGTTAGAAAACATAAGAGTTCAAAAGAGCAGTTAGTAGATATCTTTAAAATATTTGAGCAGCAAAAGTCAGTAACCTATCGAGAAGGTGCCAAGAAACCAGTCATTTTTTCTCACAGTAACTCTGTGTCACCCATGTCAAGTGCTTTTCTGGAGGATGATGAAGTCCCTAGAGTACCTTCCGGGAGAAGTTCCCGGTCTATGTCTCTTGTTCCAGGCGCTTTTCCACACGTAATCGGAGCAAGAAAACGCCGCTCATCTCGGGTGTCTCTGCAATTTAACGTAAGCTCGCTGCCCGGAGAGATCAAGAATAAGACTAAGAGCCTGCAGCAAAGACGGTTTTCGGCTATCTCAGCACCGTCCTTTGCATTTGAACGCTCGGTCAGTCCTAGAGCAGCTAGCAATTTGTCTATGTCCGCTCCCATTATACCGGTGATCAGGAAGTTCAATTTTGATAGGACAGAACTTTTTAGAAGCGAACGAGAGGAGAAAGAAGCCGTGTTCGATAAGAAGGAAAAGTTTTTCTCCAGAAAAACAATCAGGAAAAAGATTTCGTTGCTGCCATCTTTGCAAGCATTCACAGAAATAGGGGAAGGAGCAGATATTGAGGAGATTTCCCGTGGTCATATTGACTGAATGTTCAGGGGTCATTTTCAAAGGGAACCTGGACGCGCTCGTGAAAATCAACGGGTCAAGTGATAAACCCAGTCTTTGTAAACTCTAGTGAATAAGATTGCAAAATAGAGAAAATATAATAAACTAGACTAATGGAGCTCTCTATAGACATGTCTCGACCACGCATTAATCAATATTAGTGACCGAATATTCTGAAAAACATGGAATCTAACCAGAACATGAAATTCTGCGGATGACTCTAATTGATCAACTACGAACATTTCAACAGTAAAAACTTATTTGTTTTCATTGTAAATTAAGATTCGACTTTCATTGTTAGATTGTCTAGGTTCTCAGAAATTGATGTTATGATTATCTCCTCACAACAATTATTAACTTGATATTGTCCACAAAAAACTTGTGGACAATATCAAGTTAACGTATCTTGTGGACGATAGTAAATGAGTTTGACTTTCCGACGTTTGACTTGATTTTTCCCTTCATAAAACTGCACTGACACAATAACAAAAGAACTTCAAGTTGTGATACAGAGCAGCATCGATTCATTGAATTGCTCTACAGAAATAATCTGTATTGTAGAATATGCAAATTTCATGCTTGCATATGATAATTCATGCAGCATTTATTTTCTTAATAATGTAAGGTGCGTGAACATGATTTGTATCACTCGCATCACAGACGGTACCTTTTCATTAAAAATCAACATTGTAAAGTAAAAAGTAGCGAGTAAATATTATTGCATAGTGAACAAAATAGTATTATGCAAACAAGCCGTCATTATGTATATACTTTGCAAATTAAGAAAGTTTAACTGACATAGAAACGCAGGAGATTATGAATAATGTCAACAATGTAGTTTAATTCATATTTGGGGAAGGTTCAACTCTTCTTGGGTGTTAACCTAAACAAAGTAAACTTGGTAAACAAAGTAAAAAAGTTATTATATCTAGATTTAATGAAGAAATGATAATTTTCTTGATAATTAAACAAAGTAAACTTGGTAAAAAAAATTAAAAATAATTATTATATCTAGATTTAATGGAGAAATGATAATTTTCTTGAAAATTCGTATCTATTCGTTAGAGGATGAAGATGAATACACGTGCTGACGGAACGTTGATATTTGCTTGACAGGCAATGGCAAAGTTTGACAAAAACGAAGAAACATAATCAGGAATCTAAAGAATGATGCGCGCTTCAAGCCAATGTCATTGACTTTTATTTTTACTCCTAACAAGAAAAATATTTCAAGCCAAAAGAGCATCTGCTAATAGCTAACTTTACAGCAAGAAATTGAATGAATGATCAAAAGAGGAGGTGCTTCAGATAAAGTGGAAAGTTCTGACTTTATATCATTTCTCATTTGAAGTTTTAAAGGAAGGTCCATTCGTCCTGGTTTACCCCCACTCTGCAAACGTGTAGGGTGTGTGGCAAGAAATGGCTAAAACCTGAAAATTTCTTAGATAATAGATTTCTCAAAATACACCCATCTCTAGACGCCTTTCTACTTCCATAGGCAAAAACCCAATAATTTACTAGGAGTCCTTGGGGCATGCACCGATTTGAAGTTAATGGTGTCACATAAATTTGTACCTCTTTCAAGGCTTGTGGCCTAAAAGGAGAACCGCTTCAGCCAGCACTCCCAGCATTTTCCAAAAGGGGAATGACCCCCGGCTTCCTCTGTTACAAGAAATCAAGAGATCATAATAACACCAGACGATATGAATCAACACTAAATGACAATTTGATCAATAAACATTCGAAAATTGAAACAATATTCGCTACAAGTAAGTACTTTTTTTTCACTTCAAAGACAATAAAACAATTTTATACAATAACAGAACGTCTTTTTAAGAGAAATTCAGTTCCTTCGTTTTTGCATAAACATAGCGAATGAATTATTTTGCCTAATTGGTCTATGCAAGAGACTTACGACAAGCACAGCCCTGTTAGTGATGCCAACATGAGTACCAGATACAAGTGCAAAGCTTCCCGTGCTGGTGATACTTTCCACTCCAGACCAATCATCTTGCTTTTCTCTTCTGTTCTGATTTCGAGGCCCGGCTTGAACCAGCACCTGCCTCCTTTGCCTTTCTTTCAGATTGCTTGCGACAGTTGGCGAGTTCCTACGAATCGAAAAAATCCCATTTAATACACAGGAAGAACCAAACCCCCAAAACACTCATTAGGGTTAGGGTTTGGGTTTGGGTTTGGGTTTGGGTTTGGGTTTGGGTTTGGGTTAGGGTTAGGGTTAGGGTTAGGGTTAGGGTTAGGGTTAGGGTTAGGGTTAGGGTTAGGATTAGGGTTGGGATTAGGGTTAGGATTAGGGTTAGAATTAGGATTAGGGTTTGGGTTAGGATTAGTAACAAATACTTTTAAAGAAGAGGAACATTATAAGACTTCTTTTAGAAAGTATTACTGAATGAGGCAAAGCAAAAGTTGGAGAGCCAGAAACAATAGAGAAATTTAGAAAGTCAATCGGAGAGAAAGGAAGGTTTTCATGAAATCATAAAATTTGGAATATGCAAAGAAAAGTTTTTTTAAGGGCATTAGGATATTTAAATTTGACAGGCAAAAATATTTTCTAGAAGGAACAGAAAATTATAGAGCATGGAAAAAGTTATTTTAGTTTTACACATCTTGAAACCAGAATCAAATATTGTACCACGCTAAAACTAGTAAAAATAAATATTTTCTAGCTTAGATAAGTTTTGGTCATTGCTTTCAAAGAGTCAATTTTTATCAAATACTTTCTAAGCTAGAAAAACTTCTTCAAAAGGGATAAACTTTAAAGGAACAAACAACGAAAGATATCTGCCAGAAGTGTTGATGCAACGTACAGAGATCTTTATTAAAATTACAAAAATAATAACGACATCTTCTTTTACTGTTTTTCCAACAGATCAACTTAAATTCGCGAGACTGTGAGATCATATTTAAGAAAGCGTCAGGCAGAAATACAATTTGAAAGGTCAGTTTGCTTAAATTTTTAGCAAGAAAGATCATTAACCTAACAAGAACGTCAGCAAAACAATTTACGATGTTTGCCTGAATCATCTTCTGAAGTCAATCAAATTGTAAAATGAGTGAATGATGACAAAAGAAATGGACCTCTTGTATTCGACCAGCAATAACATTTCTTGTAATATTTTGCCATTACATAAAAACTTCACAGTTGCCAGAGCGCACTGATCAATTTTAATTATCGGCAACAACCAAAGCTGATCTGACAGCGTGAAAATTACAACAACTATGTCACCTAGCATTCATGTTTTACGTAATAGTAGATAAAGTCTTGTAAACAACAGTTCTCCTAACAATCAAACAACTGACATGGCAGATAAACTACGTGTCATTTCGTAAGTACCCTGTAATGAAAACCCGAGAGCTCAGTTGAAGTGGGAGATAACAATTAAGTTGCTTGAAAAATTCTGACTCTCCATTAAGCTTTAAAGAGCTCCCTACAAAGAAAAGCGGGAACTTTCTTTGCATAAAAGCGGTTTTTGTTCAACATTTTTAAGAACGGGGAACGTCGACGGTGACCAAAGGCTGACTATACTTTATAACCTTTTATTGATGAGATAGGCCAATAGAAATAAAGACCGTGTTCATTGGTTTTAATGTTTTCATATACCAGGAGGAAGAGACGCTGTATAAATATTAATAATAGATAGGCCAATACATAATAAATAATAAACTAATAGATATTATATAGTTTACTTGTAATTTTATTTTAATATTTTGGTTGTTCCAATCAAATCTATTTATTTGCATTATATTGGATAGCCTCTTGTCGTTTGCAATGTTCCTATTTATCATTTCCTTAGTTCGAGTCCTTCCCGTGAAAAAACCTTCACTAGAGCAAATGGGGTCAGAAGGTGTAGTCACATCAAGAGGAAGTACAAGTACACTGCTAAACAAGCACAGCTTTTCAGAGTTCTAAGAAATACTTTTGGAAGCTATGCAGTAACAAATAACAATACAATTAGATTTTGGCCGCCAGCCGGTGCATTTAGAATTAACCTTGTCAACTTTGAGAAAGGTTCAAACATGTTGGAAAATTTTCTTATAAAACATTGCAGAGACAATCGTGCGAGAGAAAAGAGTGAAACTTAGTGGGCTCGCTACAGAAAAAATGGTCTACAATCAATCTTCCATCATATTTTTCTTGAAACGAAGCCTTAATTTCAGTCAGTTTCATCCAGTTTCAAGGAGACATTCTTCCAATTCAAAGAACGTGCTAACAGTTTTCAATGCTTTTAATAACTTCCAGGATATCGGTTTAAGAAGCATTAGGGGTATTTGTCAGTCGAATTTTTATTGATATCACCATTTAAACTGGAGCTTAAATGAAAAATTTGTTCTGTTTATTTTCAGCTCACAGAAACAATTATGAAATAAAGTGTATAGATATTGAAAAACAGATGCAACTGATACAAAATGGCTCCATCCAGTCATACTTAGTGATAAAGAATGAGAGTGCAACTTTCAGTGAACTGCAATCTTGGCACAAAATAGCTGAGATTTTTTTCGAAAAGTGAAGTCAAATGTCTTATTACTATATAACATGCGCTGGTAGCCCACAACCTCTTCCCCCCGATGTCAAGGTTGGGTTTTATCATTGCGGTATAACTGGGGATGAACGCGAGCAGAATTACTCTCATCACAACATTGATTTGGAGGGGCGGGGGCTGGATGATTTGAAACTAGCTCAGTTTTCTGCGAGTGTCTCAGCATTTTTTGCCAGGGGTGTCTTCAACCAGGCTGGTTTTATACTTTTGAGTTAGAGAGTCTGTGTAACTCTGTTGTCTATTCAGACTTTTCTGGGGTGCGTTTTTTCGTGACCACTGCAAGGTAGAGTAATGAGTTGGATATTCTGGGTGGTGTAATCCTGTTTGTTTCTCAGCATGTTTTGCCAGGGGTGTGGCTACTACATTTGACAAAAAACCCAATAGTTTGTAGAACTGTCAAAGGATTATCAGTTTTGGCATTTTTCAACGTCAACAGCGACTTCCAAGCACCCAAAACAACAATTCAAGTGTTCGATATTTGGAGATGGCTACGAGGTATTGAATCAAAATATCAATTAGACTTACCTGGTCTTTTTGAGCTTTAATGGCATCAATGTTCTGTTCTGCATATTGTCGGTCTTTTGATGGGTCGTTTTTCAGCTCTTCTTTCTCAGAATTCTGTTCAACAATAACAAAAGTGTTCATTGAATATACGATTGAAATTAAATATACGATTTTTATGAGGGAATGTGTCATTGACAAAATACAATATGAATGTCAAATACACTTTAGAATTTTACATGTTTAAAATATCTAAAGTTGTCAATTTGTTAATGAGGGTTTAAAGGCGAAGAAGACCGATAAAATAACCTATTATCACTGCCCTGCCTTTAAAAACATGCCTTGCAGTAACTTTAAAGAATACAAAAAGCACTCTTCGACTTGAGCATGTAGACCCAACATACTGGAAATAGTTTATTTTTATTGCTAATACAGTTCCACGGCATTTAGTGCAATATTGATTTACGGCTGAAAGTTGCGATATTTGGATATAGGCCGGTTGACTGGTGATCGTATTAAGCGTGAAACTCCGAGTCAAAACTTAAGAATCCTACTGTTCTACGCACCAAAGCATGAATGCAAGCACATAGATTAAAATAGGCACACGGAATTATATTCGTAATTGGCACACAGTCCTAATATCAACGAAAAATGATACTTTCGAAGGCATCAAAGAATTGGCTGGACAACTTACGAAGGACTGAGAAACACAAGTTAAAACAATTTATTTCGTTTCCTGTCTGGTGTCAATAATAGACTTTACCCATAGTGTAATAATAAATAAAAGCTTGGGTTTAGCTCCTAAGAGCATCTAGCAACACAATATGTGGCATCGTGCGCAGATTTAGTAGCCTGGGTATTCACCCAGTCTCGCTTCGGCGTTAGCCTCGAGCTGCCTCGACTTGATAAAGGAACCATTTAACGTAGTTTCAAGAACATAAATTGGAAAAAGTCTTCATCGCTTCATCACAATTTGAATGATCACAACATCAAAAAAAAAATTACCTGGGGAGGGAAAACCTCTGAAAAAGATTCTCTCCACAAATCATCAGGAGTCCTAGAACCACAAAATAATTGATCTGAATATTTATAAAAAGGATAATAAGCGGCAGTGAAGACCGAGGAGTTGTTCAAGCTTAGTGTTCATTAAGACATCATAATTAACATTATTTATTCAAAAGTTTATTAATGCAATAAAATGCAGGGGTTTATAAGCCATATATTTCATAGATAGTCGCAATTAACTGTAGAGAGTTACACATTCCAGGATTTGAATAAGCGCAAGAAACTTGCATACTATATGCAAAGAAACGTCGATCAAATTTCCAGTTGAGGATATGAGCATTATTTCAAGTGTAAGTAATGGACAAACGTCAATAGAACACTGCTCTTAACGATTGATTTTTTCACTTTGTCATGTGTCTGAGTAAAATAATATTATTGTGCAGCGCAAGAGCCTAGGTGATCTTTACCAAGAATGTTAGCTACTCAGGGCCTGCGCCATTAATCCTAACTGGAGGGGCCAGCAACGTAAAGAAAGTTTCCTCTTACTCTATTTAGCCCCAATTGTGGCACCATTTAGCTGAAGCTTTTTTATTTGTTTACTTTGTCCAATGTTTTTGTTATAATCTTAAGGTTATTATTCTTTTATTTAGCGAAAAATTTGGGAGGCCAAGATCCCCTTCTGTGGAGCAGGCCTGTTACTTATCCAGCAATCTGTGTAAACATATCTAGATTAAATTCCTTCGGGCAGAAACCGCTAATCCTATTACATTTTAAGCACAAAAACTGTTAGTCCTGTTACCTTTTAGCCAGACCATTAGGCATATATCTGCAACACTTTTTCAAGGCAAGCTATGCTTAACTAGCATTGTTCCCACTATTATATTTAGCGACGTAGAGTAATATATCAATGCAACACAATACTAACCCTCCTTTTACGCGCATCATTCGATCAGCTGAGATTGATGGGGCACCTGGAGAGAAAGAACATATTAACTTAAAATCCATTTGCTGATTCCACAGATGAGTCGAAAATAACGTCTAAAAAGAAGAAATGAAGGACGCACTTTTAAGTTAGATTCTTCTTGATAATTAAATAAAAGGCAATATCTTTAATTGAATGTGATTTTACCAACTTCACATCATTCTAACTTTGACTTAGAATTATCTGTTTGTATAAATTGTTCAACACTTAGAACCTGAAATTTGAAATATTTGTTCTTGTCAAATGTCAGGACAGCTTTATAAAAAAGGTGAGAAAGCAGTGGACAAATTTAAGAGTTGAACTTTGCAACACAATACTTAGGTGAAATAAATACATCCACTTGAATACACTTTAATCAACATCTTAAGAATAAATATTCAAAACATCACTCGTTAAAAAGCAAAGCATTTTTGTACCGATATCATCAAATTTATCCTGGCCAGCATGTACAATAATTGGCTTGTTATGGTCCGTTACAGAAGATTTCCTGGAAAAAAAGTTTAATTAGAGAAGAGATTGGTTAAAATAAATTGAATCCCATGAGTTTATTCTACAGGAACAGAAAATGCTGAGAAAGAAACAGAAAATTGAACATACGAAAACAAAGGAGGCAAACGAAACAAATTATCTAAGTATAAGAAAGTAAGTTCAACTAAAGCTATAAGAAATGAATCAAGGATTATAACAAACTTAAATATTAAATATACAAAACAGGAAACAAAATTTTTCTAGCTATAGCATCACTTTAACGGGAACACAGAACTTTGAACACAGCAACTGTTTTTGTCATATTAATCAGGGCAGCTTTAAAAAAGCAGTGCGAGTGAACACAATTAAAAGTAGAACCTTGCAACACGATATTTAGGTTATTAAATATTAAAGTAAATTGCTATATTAAAGAAAATGTGAAAATGCCAGAGAAAGCATGAGGTAAAACATTATTAGCATGAGAGAAATTTGAACAAAAGTGAAAAAATTGATAAAGCCTTTTTGCAGAAAAAAGAATTTTTTGCAGAATAGAGATATTTCCTTACCCAACAGACATGTTAAACGCCATATTAGCAAAAAGACTTCTAGTCTTGCTACTCAAATTGTCAATTTTGTTGCTTGAAAACTGCGAATTGAAGAAAGAAAGGTACTTGGCTTGCATGTTACTAAGGCAGATTGAAGAATCGGACACAAAAAGTCACTAAAAGTCTAGTAGGGTAATTGTTTCTTTTTCTTACGCCTTGCAGTCATCTATCATTTGAGCTACACAGTGACGCCTTCATCAGTTAGTTTCAATTAATGGGCAAAATAAATATCAAATATACTGAAAAATTAAAGAAGAAGATCGTTAAACTCCCAAAGGTTACTCTCAACTTTCGCCTAGAGTGGCTTACTTCATCATTCAGGGTCCCAAGTACTATATAAGAGCTACTTCTACTGTGATCTCAATACATAATCCACGTGCAGATATGGATGGAGTCCGGCAGTCTATAGACAGCAATCCAGGCGTTTTTAAAGGTGTCGTAAATTTAGAAACATTTTCAACGATCGAGTGCCAAATATAGTTACGTTTTAAGAGACACCCAGAAAGCTGGTATCACAGTTTGCTATTTAATTTACTAAGATTATAAAAGGTGCCACGAGAATGTTGAATGAAATTAGAACTAGTATTGATCATTGGGGAACACCTTAGCTTCTTCTTTATAGAAACATTTCAAAAGATTTCAAATTGCTGAAGTTTAAATTGAATTATCCCGAGCTTGACGCTTCATTAGATATTAGCAGAGTCACAAATTTTATTCACGAGTTAAGTATTTTTAATCTTCAATAAACATCGCTAAATTGGTAGGTGATAGTTAAATCAAAAAGAATTTTTAAACTTCACTTCGATGCCGATTCAAACAATTTTGGCAAAAGAATTCTGCAGATATCTAGAGCATCTTAAGACGTTGTTATGAAACTCGTCAAGCAAAGGCGTCACACGTGACAGCAGTGTGGTCGGCTGGCGTTCTCTCATCGGTCTTTCAAATGACCTTATAGTGTGCAAGTCAAAGAGAGCTAGCCAAGTTAAATCATGAATTTGGGGGTACCTGCAAAGAAGCGCCGTTTTTGTGGGCGATGAATCTAAGAGTTTTGCTGATAATTTTCTTCTTTTCGGGCTCCATTTCCTGAAAATGTAAATATTGAAAATTTAATTCACCCTGCAGTTAATTCTTTATTCAAAAGCTATTTAAGCGTCGGCTTGTTTTCATATCCGTCCTCCCACCACTACTGTCAGGTTCATTAGGCCGCCGAAAAATGTGCCTCTAGAGTGATGAGGCAATGAAGTCAATTTTTGTCAAATATTGCATAACGTTCAGGATTATTTTGAAATTTAGCCTAAATTATATCCCGTGATGTAGATAGTGAACGTTGAACCCAATTTGATTATTTCATACAATATGCACTGCATAGAAATTGATGTTAAAATAATCATAGAAAACCAGAGAGTGGATGTGGGTGATATACTGAATATAACACAGACGGAGACTCTTTCTGCATATAACAAAAAGACTGTGTCTAGAAACACAACATCGTCTTCTATGAGCAGTTCTCTACACTATATTTTAACTTATATAAGTACCTTAAACCTTCCTCCAATACATGGAGCTTTTCAAGCACATTAATAGCCAATTGCTTGCAAACTAGAGAAGCAAAGTGCCTTTGAAGAAAAATTGCGTTTTGATAATCATAAATACACAAACCTGGTATTTATCGTATTTGTTACCAATGATCAGCAATGGGATTTGAAGTGGATCCAGCAAGTTTTTGTCCTAGTTCAAACGAGAAGTAACACGTTAAGTTGCCATTGGAAACTTGGAATATAAGATTGAATACTAAAAGAAATTATGAAATGAAGTTACCTTTTTACGCGAAATTACGTGTGTGACTTACTTAATGTATTTCATTTTACAAATTCCTAAGAAAACATGCCTTATTAATTTCTCATGCCATATTTTTTGTAATCCTAAGTCAACGATCTCAGAATTTTTGTATGTTCGTATGTTTTTGTATGTAATTTTTGTAAGAAATACAATAGAACCGGACGCACACCAAAAACGAACGATTTCAAACCACGGAAAGTTGAAGCCTTTCTAGCTTCTCAACACATTCAAAGTCATGTATAGGCACCCTCCTAGAAACGATCCTTTACCTGGCGGACAGAAACGTTAGTCCAACGAGGTCCGCTATTTAGAGGTTTGACTCATAGCCATGACTCATATCTTAGCTAATTTTACTTTACCTCCTAAATTTCGTCTATATATGCATACTACTACATCTTTTTTCGAACAAAAAAATACATCATTCTAATTTCAATCGAAAAAGTCCATAAAACAGCGCATGGAAAGCCCCCTTTAATATGCGTTATTAAACAACCCAAAGTAGAAATAACACATTTTTGTACGTACCGCATGGTTTTCTCCAACGCGTTCCCAGCATTTTTGTTTCATCTTAGCAGAAGTGCTAGGAAAGAAATGAATTATTAATCACAAGATTCCCTGAGAAAAGGATCTCTACTGATAGTGAGGACAACATAATTGTTTTGAAATCTTTCTGAGTACCTTGGGGCGCTTCGATCAATCTCGCTCAATGCTTTCTTCACTAAATGTTTTACCTATGTGAAAAGAAAAAATTAACGAGGTTTAGTGATCTTTCGAAATGAATCAATGTTAAATGAACAGAAAAACTTTTAGATTCTTAAATGATTATTCGTGTGTTACATTGTAAAGCCATTGGCCAAACGCTTTTTGGGATCAGTTACACAACGGAAAAAGTTAACCAATCAAATGTGTTTATCGACAAAGTTTAGTAATCTAAGTGACTAGTTATGTTTCGTCTACATTTGTGAAAAAACAATCAAAATTGATTTGAAAGGCTGTTTTAAATGGATTAGAAATCGTGTGAATATGAACTTTAGCTTGAATAAGACCAAGGCCATATGGAAATGAATTATTCACATAAGACCAATTAAAGGCAGTCTGTCCCATTCGCGATTGGCTAATAAAAGGGACCTCCTCTCTAGTCATTGAGAACGGGAACAACAAAAAAGAGCCTGATCTTCATATCATCGAATCTGCCTTAGATGTTTGACACCAAAACAAAATTCCCAGCAACTCACTCAGGGAGAGTACACTATAGTGGTTCTTCATTCTCATTGGTTAATTGTGCATCAGAACAACGATGCATGAATATCTTGGCCATGGAAAGAGTTTCTTAGAATGGGGACTGGGGAGAGACTACCTTTAAACTGAAAAAAAAACAACATCACTAGCCACAGTCTTGTCGATTAATAAAGAAATTTTGCAGCAAATTAACAGCCAAGTTAATCCTACACAATATTAGCGGTCTAGTTAAAGCTAAGAATAACCTCGACAATATACAGAAAGTTTTTCAACGTAAAGAAAAAGGTGAGGTAAAAATATAATTTGTAAGTAGAGGAAATTCCTGTTAGAGAGAACACTGGTTCGACAGTATGAAAAGGTTGTAATGTCCTGTTTCGTCCTTCGTCACTTTCATGGAACCACAACAATGGTCTGGATTGATGCATGCTCTAGCAAAGGGATGGGTTTAAACGTATTGGAATAGGTTCGCTGAGACTGCAAAAAAGTTCAAGTTAATGCCAATGTGTTTTATCAAGGGACCGAGTAATCGGGATTGGGCCGTAGAAATGTGGTTCATAAGAAAGATGCTAAGGTTATTGTGAAGAAACCATGTCAGCATCACGGCAGTCCTAGAAAACGCTAGAAGCAAAAAGTTTGTTTAGAACAACGAGAAAGTGGCAGTAAGTATTTTCGGACACAAAATGAGGAAAGGAGGGTTGGAGTTTTTCGCGGTCACCGTGAAAAACAGGAAAGAGAAGCAAAGCAAGATCACGTGTTGACATTGTCAAGAGTCTAGTTTCGTGAATAGGCGTGTCTAATGGAATGTTCTTGAGATCATATGAAGAAAGGGAGTTGCAGAGGTTAATGACAATCAACTTCCTGCAAGGACAAGATTGAGAGTGAAAAATAGACTGTTTCATCATAATCATTTATCAAAAAATTGATACGTATCGTGAAGGGAACAAAAATGATCATCCTTGCAAAAGGCGATACGATAATGAATCTGTACCTCTTTCAAAAGGATCTCCTGGGTCTCCCATAGATCGTTTGGCCGTGAAAGATCCAAGACAACCACTATAGACAAGTTCCTAGAAGATAAATCGGAAGTTTATATATACGGATATTATTTACCTATGACACCATTCACTGAGGATTGGACCGATGACGGATTCTTGCGGTGCAGCTATTTGAGATCCAACCTTCGTTATATAACAGAAACACCTTCTTTTTGTAAAATTTCCATACCACACACAAACTTTAACAATATGAATGCCATGTTAAATGCATTAACAAAACATTAAACGAGTGTAATTTCCCTGAACAATGAAAAAGTCAAACATAGATTTCTTAATCAACAAGTAACATGACAAAAATTCCTATTCAGTACACGACATTTTCTTGACTCTACAGCAAGTTTATTCTACTCTAGGTACAAGAGCCCAAGGAATTAGGAGAGTGGTTACAATGAGAAGAAAACATATTCCTTTCCCAGTATTAAGGCTCTGGTACCCAGGCTGTAGCAAGCCATTTCCAAGCAACGACCACGCATGGTTACATGGTATAATTAACGGAATATGGAGTCACTATCCTGCTCCAAGCGCTTAACTCAAGTCTTTCAGGTCTTTAGCTGTGTTTTTTCCTTGAAGTTACTTCATCAAGAATAGCCTACGAGCATTCCTCTATTTGTATGCACGCTGGCTACTTCAAAAGTAGTAAAATTCTTGAAGCAAGAAGTGCAACAACGTGGCAAGATTATAAATGTCAGGGGAAAATATACCTGAGAATTCCCTGGGAATATACCTGGGAATTTCAAAAGAACGGAAATCCTTGAATACAAGATTTTGAAAAGGACTGTTTCTAAGATTATTGAATCGAGACTGGAAACGTGTGGGTTGGTGCAGGTCTTGCTGCTTGATACACAATGAGTAAACTTCTACCATTCAAGGAACAATTGGAAATTTTAGAATACAACTGGTTGGACTAAATAGAATTAAGTAATAAAAGGTTCATTACATATAAAAGTGCCCATGTGGTTTGAAAATTTTCATTGGAATTGCACGATAACTGGAACAGCGAGGTGCTTAGCAAACCCAATAGAATAAAGGCCTATCTCACTTTGAACTTATTGATGATGATGTTATAATGGTTTCTATCAGTCTTGACATGCTTGCTCCTCCCCCGAGTTCATAAATATTGCAAACATCTTTGATCTGAAAGACAATAGGTTACTGAAGGTGCATAATCATATTGGTTTAACCGTATAGTTTCAACAATAGTACTTTCAGCAGTCGAGCATTAGAAGCTTACTAATACCATTGATATACACCATCTCGAGTGCATGCAGTCTCAAACATTCGTTTTCTCGAACTTTTTTCAATACCGCCTCGTTATGGGTTTTTTAGAATCTTCTCCGACTATCTTCAGCCCTTTTCCTTTTCTCTAAGTGGAAAAGTTGCTTGTTATCGTCAACTGTACGAGTCTTCTTCCTAACTCAATAAAGAAACACGCCTAAGATATGTTTCCAAGTATTCTTTAGATAATATTTGTACATTGTCGATCACACAAAGAAACATGTAAATGAATTTCAAAAGCCCTTCAAAATCTCGTTGAAAAGAGGAATGGATACATTGCAGGGAAAAACCCAGTAAATTTTCAAAATTTGCAAACAGACAAAGAAATATTCACTGGGCTCCATGTTAATAAAGTGCTAGGAGGATATCCTGGCAAATTATTTCAAGGCAATCGACATCTACAGATACTAGAATTTGATAATAAGAACTACGATGAATAAAAAATGTATATTGCTGAAACAGTCGACAACTTCCTGTTAAAAATAAAATAATTAGACAAATCCGGTATTTATACTGACGAGATTACAGGATTTACAGTATAAATACTGGATTTGTCTAACTATCTTATTTTTAACACGAAGTTGTCGACTGTTTTAGCAAGATGAATTTTTTATTCGTCATGGTTCTTATTATCAAGTTCATTAACAAGCTGCGGTTTCCAAAGTCTCAATCTATTAGATAGATACTAAAATGGTTTACACCCACTGGCAATCAACGTTAACCAATCAACAAGCATAATACCAGTCACATGCTAATTGATTGGTCAATAGTTGATTGACCAATGGTTAAAGCCATTCCTTGTGCATTTTTAGCCGCAAATGAGATTATGAAAACAGCAAAGCCTTTGGGTAAACAACTAGAATCTATTTACCATTTTGTGTCCTCTTGGGCGTCTGGCAAATGTATAATCTAATGCTACTGTTGGCTTCGGGTTTTCATCCCTTGAAAACAGATTTTATTTTAAAATGCTGCTCAGTTGCAAGGAAAATGGAAACATTCTATGAGTCTTTTTAAGAATAGACTGCAGTAGCCTAAGGGCAATGCTAGATGTTCAATCAGCCAAAAACAGATTTTGCAGTCCATATAATCATACAAAACAGTTGCTTCGAGACCTATATAGCATTGCAAATTGCAGTTTGAAACAGGAGAAAACTCCAAACTTTGTTAGATTATACATTATAAATTAAGAATAGAAATAACTCTAATCTTATTAATCTTACAACTAAAAATAATGAAACAAGCTTTGATCAAAGATTTAACAGCAGTCTTGGACAATGCACTGTTAAAATGTTTAGAGTGTTATGGGCCTCTTGAATAGAAGAGTCCAAGAGAATTTGACTAATACAAACCATATTTAAGGCATTTTAATGAATTACTTCTCACTTAAAACCAAAACAAAGATGATTTCTAACAAAGACAATTTATTAATCCTTCACCTTTCTAAAAACCTTAGTATCATTGAGCTTTTCCCCTGATGAAAAAGAAAAAAAAAGTTATGATTTTTTTGAAAAGATATTGAAACAATCTTGAACATACAGCATGTAAAGATTTGAAGGAAAAGAGATTAAATATATTTTCAAGACTAAAAATTGAATTTAAACTATAAAATAACCATTTATATTTAATTAGAAATGATCCTGATGATAAAAATGCAGTGAATCACATATACATCAGCACTTTGCAGAGTTTTGTTGAATAAAATACAAAAAATTATGGACAATCAGTCAATAAAAAAGGGGGTGTAATAAATAAGATAACATAGCAAGGTAGATAAGATTGGCAAGAGAAAATCGGTGTTAGCTTACACTTTGCTTGCTACCACAAACCAAAATACAACTTTCTGTTGGCTGGTCACTGGTGTCTTCTTTCCCTAAAATTTAATGAGATAGTAACATCTTGCCAATCCTTAGCTGTAAAAAGTTTTACTTCAGATAGAGAAACAAAGAAATTAACTGGCCTTTCTTGCAAAATGAAAAAAGAACAATAGCATCACAAGAATGCATAGCTATCCATCAAACATATAATGAATAATGACTTTTCTTTGTGTCAGCCTATGTGTCACGAGGACGAGAAAAGGAATAATACACAGTTTAACCAAAATTAGGCTATAATCAACGTATCCCCACTTACGACTAAACTACAACTATGCTTCAATGTGTTAATGTGTTAAAACTCAATTAAATTAGGTTCTTTCTTGAAGTCAACTCAATCTGCTTCATTAAATTCAAAGAAAGGTGTCAAATAAATAGTTTGCAACGCAATGCAACAAGCATAACAGCAATAGGCCAGTTTCACAACACAACACTCTTTTTTTCTATAAGAACCAGTAAATTTAAGTTCAGGCTGACTGTTCTTAATTTTTTCGAAAATCTGAGGCTGTATTGTTCTAAATTTGTTCTTAATCTAATAGGGTGTAAGCAGTGCGAGTGCTAGCTTTTTCGCTCTAGGGAGGTGTACAGGCCTCATTTGCCAACAAAATGAGTGAGACAACCCTCATTTGTGGAAAAGTTTGAAAATTCGACAAAAAAGCACCCACACATCGCTAAAAATCCTCCATTTTGAGAAAAAAACGTTGTTCAAAATTGCATTTTGCAGAAGCTCAGCCTCAGCTCCTTCTTAATTTGTTCTTAACTTTTGACCAATTTTGAGGCTTGTGTTCTTATAACATTGTTCCTATAAAAAAAGAGTGTATTATGAAGCAGACATCAATGAAAATTGGTTTACCTTTATCTTTGTATCCAACTTCTTCTTTGATTCTTTCTTCAACAGCAATGTCCCATAACGTTTTTTCTGACCTGAATGCAGATTTATTTCTTAAGGTCAGATTTCTATTAAAATCCTTAGCAAGGAGGTCTAGGAATATACAGAGAGTGGATGTTGATGTCCCAAAGGAAATTTGTCTAAAGATATTATTGTCTTGATAAAAACTTTAAGCAAAAAAATATGCAGTGCATGGTACAACAATAATAGCACAATGGCAAAAAACAGGCTTTGTTGGATAAAAACATTCTAGAATCCTAGAAAGAAAACTTTATATTGTTGAACAAACAAAGGTATAGGTTACATTGGGAAATGATTGGTAGAAAGGGTACTTTTCTTGAGCAAACAACATGAAGAGAAAGGTTCCTTTTGTCACTTTCATAAGTTGCTTTTATCACTGTTTTAAACCTACCCAGCAGTACTACAAGGTATCCATATATTATTCCTTAAAAGGATATGGGTGTCTAACAGCACTGCAGTAAATAATTTAACTTGGCAACTTAACAGCTACAAAAAAGGAAAAAAATCTCAAAAAAAAACTGTTAGTCTATGCTGCCTCTAGAAATTTGTCTCTGGTGGACTCTTGCTTGATATGGAATAAAAAAGCATTTATGTCAACACTTCAGTTGAAAGATTACTTATGAAGCCTTACATAATTAAGTCTAATTCACATCCTAATATGAAAAGATTCAATGGACAGTGAGTTTAATTGCCGAGTTTAAAACATTCTAAGTGATATTTTCAAAAGTAAGCTTGGCAGAAACATTGCAGAAATAAAATCTTATGGGAAGAAAAATTTTGGCACAAAAGACAAAAAGAATGGGATAAGTGTTAGAAATGGCCTTCTCTTTTGAGATGTTTTATCCATAATTTTAAAAAACACTTGGAGGACAATTGGAAATGAAACAAATTCTGAATATTTCCTAAACCTTAAGTGCAATTGAAGAAAGGCTCAGCAGATCAGCATCTCTAAAATTTGCTTGCTGACACAATCTTGAATACCAAAAAGCTACTTTCCAGCCTGGCGCAAGATGAACTGGAGGGTTCTGGAAGAAGGTTTGCATAAAGCAAAAAAGGCCATGACACCCACCAATTCAGACTTGCCTAATATTTCTATCATAAGCAGGGATTTTGGTTGTAACTCTATGGTGAAGATTTGATTAAGGAAGAAAAAAATGTTTTAAGGTTGGAATAAAGTAGACCAATGTAATATGTTAATTACATAAAAGGGAATGCAGCTGAAATTTGACAGGCTTATATAACATAGATTGATGTTGGAGTCTCTAAGGGAGCATCTAAAATAGCAATTTATCTTTCATGCAAGATATAAAAATTTTCATGCACAATTATGCAAAAAGCAAAGGTTGAATACAGTGTTGTCATAAGAGAATTCTCAGATGGGAGGAGGGGGACTGAAATAAGTATGAGGTATCTGTTGCTGCTTATTCAATACCTTTTTATAAAGGAGTTAGTTTGGCAGGCGTTAGGAAGCTGCAGCCTGATACTTTCAATGGCTGTGATACAAGTAATCGATTGGTAGAAGTAAAGATAAACAAGTCTTTTGTAACAGGCTTCCATTTCAGTTAAAGCAAACATCTTATAGATTCCATCATTAATGAGTTGTATGTCATAGGTACTTAGACTCAGGGGCGCAACTACGGGGGGGGTCCTGGGGGTCCAGACCCCTGCCCTTTTTCTCAAAAGGGTAAAAGTGCCCTTTTTCCTGGAAAATTGCTTGAATATTTTAACTATTACGCTAAAATGGTTGGTCATACAGTAAATGACACACTACGGAGATGTAATGGACCTCGCAGGAATACAGATAAATGATTTAGTCGAACTTTCGCGCACTTGTTGGGTCGAACGTCATCATGTTGCAGTAATAGAGTATATCTTCAAGCCCCAACTCTACAGCGTGTTTTATGATGCGCTACGCACTGGCTTTGAAGAAGAATGGTTCTGGGACTCAAAAACCAAAATAAAGGCACAGGATTTTGAACGGGATAGAGCCTCTACGACCTCTGGTAAAAAGTTACAAGAATAAAAACGAAGACATTTTTCAAGCCTGTCACATAGTTGACAGGGTCATAGAAGACCTTTGCATGAAACGAGCGAATGCAGGGAAATATTTTCGGACTGGTATTAGCAAGCAGTAAATATGACACAAAAAGTTGATGTTCAGCTGTTCCGTTCCTTGTCAGTATTACAAATCAGCTCAAGGCAAGACTTGGAGACAGAAACAAGCTGAAGGCAAGGCTCGTGGAACTGTTCAACCTCCTCCAATCTGTAGTGCGAAGCAAAGAATTCAATAATAATATTTTAAAGCGCAAAATGTCTTCGGATATGGAAGATGATGGGCTGCTATTCAAAAGTGAGCTGGCGCTGGGAAAAGGAGATGACAGCAGGGTCGCCGAGAGGGGGACAAAGGGGCAAATTGCCCTAGGGCCTCGAGGTCTAGGGAGCCTCACAAAGCAATGAATTCCGTTTTTAAATGGAATTTATTAAAAGTAACAAAATTACAATTAAAAAGTAAAACATCTTAGTGAATTTAAACGAATTAGTGAATTTAAGCTATTTGCAAGGGTATGGTGGCAAAATTTTTGCTCGCTTCGCTCGCAAGAGGCATTGTTTTTTCCATTTCCCCCCTCCTTCGGGCCTCCTAAACTTCATCACACCTCACCACAAAATAAACCGTACACCACAACTTTTCTCTATTGATCAGTTTCCCTTGTCTGGCGTACAATATTTACAGATTTACTAACTGCTCATATTTTCGGTGTACCTAAACAAATGCCCCGGTGGACCTTTAATGAAGTTTAATTAGTGCCCTTTTTGTGTCTTGGACCCCTGCCCTCTGAAATTTCTGGTTGCGCGCCTGAGACTATACTGCCAAAGGAATCCCTCAATATTTTGCTTTTATTTCTTTTGAGAAATTTTTCGCGAGGGCGCTACCCTTGTGCTTTTTATAGCAATGCATCCCTGCTGAAAATCATACACCAGCACTTTAGGACTTTGCTGTTTAATACAGAACTTGCATTTTGGTTGACAAAATATAATGCTAGCGCTTGGATATTTCCAGAATTTTTGAAAGAGAGATGGCGAACCGCAACTTATATCAGCTTTTATTTTAGCCGTTAACCATACCAAATATAGAATGAACATACCCTCCTTTTTTAGACATTTTTTACATCCGAAAGCACCAAGGGTAACAGAAAATATTGACAAATCGAGATAGACCAAAACAATCTCCAACCAATAGCGACTTGGTAACCACTCAATATTTTGACTAGGCCATTCCACTTGGCAATAAGCACCAACAACAACAGCTAACAATAAATAATGCCTGCGCAGCGACAGCTCTTCCAACTCTAGTAAAGCCATCTGCTTGTTATCAAATTTTTGTCATTGACCTTGAAAGCTGACGAAGAAATGTTTACTTGAAATCTTCCAGCCTATCAAATGACCCTAAACTACTTATCTTTATGAATAAAACAAAGAAGACAGTTCTATAAAGAACACTCTACCAATATACTGAGTGCCTTATAAAAAGAAGTTTAACATTAGTATCTAAAGAAGAAAAAACATGACACATATACATAATTATATATAACACAAGTGCAAGGAAACATGGAGACAGGACCCCCAGGACAGACAGCCGTCGCCCCAACAACAACCGGAGACGGCAATAATGTCCAAACAGCCAATAAGACGTCTATCAAAAGGATGCTTCTTTATTATATTAGGGTTGCTTCAGTCTATGCTCCAGTTAACTCCTGATTTACGGGTCTTCACCTTTTGGAATGTTGCTATAAGGCAATGCATTAAACAGCCTTGAAATGCAACTTGCACTTCTTATTTTCTTTTGTCTAAGCAAAAGAGCTCTACTTCTCTATTTCTGAATTTCTTACAGCAGTGAAAGTGCAAAGCTATGTAACTGGGCTGTAACTTATCCAGTAATTTGGTTCTTCAAGACAGTACAATAAATACCCTTTTTCGTCAAAATTTCAGCATTTGGTCATAAAGACTAAACAGTCTAAATTAAAACCATTCCAAACAACGTAAATGGTAGACAGTTCACAGTTTGCTGTTAGGCTGTTTCTTTAAAAGAGGTTTCGTTGAGAATTCAAATGAAAAAAGCAAGCTTGAGTTATTCAAACAGTTGGTGCTTTTCCCTTGTTTCAGAAGCGGGTTTTACCTTGGCTTCGACTTATAAGTTAAACTTTTCTATCCAGGGCCATCGCTGGAAAAGAAAATTAGAACGTGAAAATCGAAGCCATGATTGACTGACGAAAACATACTCTTTGATAAATAAAATCAATCGTGTCAAAATTCCACACCAACAAATTTATGTATTTTAGGCCACGCCCTATTATGTCGGGAAATTTAACCTGTGACTGACACACCTCCCCTCCCCTAAATAAAAGTGTTTAGCGACGGCTGTTTCTATCGACAAGATTTGTACATTTTAGAAACGGTACGCTCTGGCGCAAAGCCCGTCTTCGTGCTTACACGATCCATTAAAAGCCTTAAAATTCTTGCCCAAACTGAGCATAAATCTATAAGTTTCAACTGCTCAATTTTGGGCGTATTGAGAGAAACTTTCAAAAATCAAGAATATCAACCGTTGTTGACGTTCATCTGCATGGCAACAGATAAAAGCACCTTTCGAAGATAAACCAATCATTGATAGCATCTTTTCTTTTCATATTTTCAACAAAAGGACATGAGGAATCTTCTCGAGTTTGTATGAAAAAGGCTGGAAGACGTCAAGCGACCTAGCATGTTTTTGATGTTCTTTTGTAGAATCTAATTACTCTGTCAATCGATGTTCCTAAAAGATGATCACTGTGGGCGAAATTTCCTTGCTTTACTCACATGATTTACTAAAAATCGTTCATCATCATTGTTCAGTGGCCTTGTTGAATCTCGTTCCTTCGGTGGAAATTTCCTCTTTGACCAGCTGCAAAATCGGCCCATCAACTGACAAGAATCTTAGCTTAATAATTTCTTGACAGAATTGATCCAATATATTAAAATTTTACAGACTTGTGAAATGCTAGAAAATTCAACGCCATGACATAAACTAAGCTAAATTAAAGGAAATTTCTCCCGACAGAATCATCTAAATCTTTATGAACATCCACGCAAATATGTATTTTTCTAGCTACTTTCTTCACGGAAACTGGTTTTGCCACTTCTCTGCATTAGAGCTTCTTCTCTCCAGCAAAACAAGTCTTACTGATGCCTGAGTACTCTTCATGTCTCGGTCATGCATTCTTTACTAGTTTTTTATACTTAACAAAATTACCTCTAGTATCTACTATTATAACTTTCCTGGTGGGTATAAAAGCTTCCTTAGATTTATTGACTGAATTTTTATTATAATTTATTAAACAGTCATCCTACCAGTAAATTTAAGCTGATCAGGCGGATAAACTGAGCCAGTTTTCCCCTAAAATCTCCAAAATATGCCTAATTTGCTGCACTAATCAAGAACCTATCTTTTTTGCTACGATATCTGTTCCAAACGATATCTGTTCCAAACAAACCTCTATTGGTTTATGACATCAATTGTTTCACGAATTTGACTATAAAGGCACTCCAATCAGCAACATAAGGCTAATTGGCAACATTTTAACGATCATAAACACGTTGCATAGCCTATAGTCACCTCTGAACGATTGAAAGACAGGGAATATTACCTTTAAGTTGCTTTCTCTCGGAATGAATATGAAATCAAAATGCTGGTTTCTTCCTTTCTTTATTTTTCTTTTCATACTTCCAGGGGCGAAGTGGCGATCACCACCCTGGCCCTCAGACATGTGAAGTAAAAAAATTACGGGCCCTTTCTGCAAAAGTTGGAGAAGATAATATCATTAATTGTGATATTACAGTCACAGCCAAGGTCACTGCACGCTTGCAATGCAATGCTTACTATGCAGAAAATTCATTTCAAATTTCGCACACAGACAAGTCTGTCCCAATTCCTAGATAAATAATTTGAAACTGTATGTAGAGATCAAGGAGCTGTTGTTTTTGGGTACTGGTCTGGAGTTGCTATTGTTACATTTGTAGCTAAATATTACTTTAAGGGAAGAAAGTTTTGAAGGAAGAAATCTTCCCGAATCAAGAGAAGTGCCAAAATTTTAATCAAGTTTCACCAAAAAGCGAAATAGGATCTTTTGCAAAAAATAAACACTTGCGTTTTCGTGAAAATCATGAAATTTGGGCAAAGAACGTTTCTATTCAACTGAGGTTTCCCTCTATTCTTATCCCACATGATACCAACAAAACAACGAAAAAGAAATTCAAATTTGTTCAAAGTTATCATTCTTCATCAAAGTTTCCAAGAGGATCAACAGCAAAATTGTCTGGATATTTCATAAAAATAAATATTTGCAAATTCAGGAAGTTTCGCAAATCAAACAGTCGCGATTTTAGACCAAAAACGCGAAATTCTCTTCCTTCGAAAGTTCCTTTCCACCAAATTTTCTTCCCTTTTTTCCCGGGTTTCCTTTAAGTTCTTCTTTTCTCTGAAACCCTCTGAAAGGTGCATGTTGGAAAGTTATAGTGACGTTTTTCTGTTTGTTTAATGAACAGTGTGTTTATAATTATAAAGTTTGGTATAGACTGAAGAATTGGTATCATTTTAAGTTCTCTTAATGATGTTAATAAGTTTGTAGGTTACTAAATTTTTAATTGTAGACAGGATTCTAACCTAGACAGATGAAGAGGTTACACGTGCAAGACCAGAACTAAGAGGTTGAATTTTTAATTGTTTTTCTTGGCTCAATTTCAGAAAACTGCATATATTAGGTTCGCATGTCAATATTGCTAGAAGTATTAGACTAGGATTGTTATTTTGAACCGTAATTCAAAGATTTCTTCCTTCACTAATCAGGCAAGAACATTACTGTTGATGCTCCATCAAAAGCAATCCCTACAAATTGTTCTTTATCTTCCGTACCTCACAGATATAACGTTGAATCATGAATGATGTTAATCCTTTATCATGATCAATATAAGACATAATCTAAAAATATGTGTGTGTGTGTGTGTGTGTGTGTGTGTGTGTGTTAAGTACCATCAAATCACTGACGACTTCTGGTGATCCTCTGAGCAAACAATTTCCATTCTATTCTGTTTATTGCTGTTTCATTAAGTTGATCCCGGTTGATTCTTTCAATACATCAAGCTATCGTGTTCTTCGCCTGCCCTTCCTAGCATAATTACTTTTTCCATCCCACTAGCTCGTATCGTATGTCCGAAGAAGGTCAGCGCTTGATTGGCAAATCGACAACCATACTAATTTGTTCTTACTTTCCATGGTATTCTCAATATTCTAACCCAACACCATAGCCCAAACTATATATCCAAAAATATAGTATGTGTCATTTGAGAATCTCACATAAAAAGGCTGCTCAACGTTTTAAAAAAAATCGCATTGATCATTGGATTGAACTCCTTAATAAGTTGTACCCTTCCATTGAACAGAAGAACTCTTCTTCTTCTTTATTCGTTTGGGAATATGTCAAGTGGGAAGAACTTGTCTCTCCCAAGACGCAGGACTTGTCTCTCCCAAACTAGCAAAGAATGTATGCCCTAGGCACAAAAAGTACACAGCATCAATAGGAATGGAGAGACGAAGCTCTAATGGAGAGGAGAGGCAAAACTGGTGACCATGAAGAAAGTTGCTGGAATATTTACGATAAAATATTTGCATGGATCCTCATAAAGGTTTAAATGATTCTTTCAGGAGAGAGTTTTGATATTTTCTTTAATTTAGCTTAATTTATGTCATGGCGTTGAATTTTGCAGCATCTGTAATATACAGTTTGGATTAATTCTGTCAAGAAATTATTAAGCTTAGATTCTTATAAGTTGGTGGGCCGATTTTGCAGCTGGTTTTCAAGACGAAATTTCCACTGATCCAGCATTTTTTTTCAATTGGATTGTCTTGATTCAACACTCTATGTCAACTTAGTCTTCGTTCTGAGAATTACTCCAAACTTCATTGTACGACTCTTTTGAGCTTATTCATGGATGCACTACCATTAGGCCGGATACAACTTTCCATATTGTTTGTGATTGAATTTATGGATATTGAGACGATTTAAAATCTCAAAAACTGTAAGAGAATGGTTGTATAAATCTTTCGAGGTTACCGTCGATTCACGGTCGAATCCCTTGTATATTTTCTAACTCTATGTCTTCATAAAAAACATCCCAAACACTACAACCATGAAAATTAACCTACAAACTGAACTTCTTATCCTTTATCAGATGCTGAAACTTTAGTAACAAAAATTTAGTAATAGGCTGTAAGCCGAAGTACAGACGGTTTCCCATAAGAATGAGAGCACATGCCTGGTCTCTGTCCTTTAGAAACATGATGTGTTAAGGCAGAAAAAACAAAAGAATAAATCTTCAAATTTCTTAAAATTATTACTTGATTTTTTTTCTTGCAAATTTCACCAAAATGATCGGCAAACTAACTTTTGTTGCATAGATTTATAAACAACAAAATAAAAGAATTTCAGATGATAAGGATGAGTAATCAAATCATTACCTACAACCAACAACATATAACTTCTTGCACAGAACACTCTATAACACAATAAGTCTTGAATTTGCTTTATTAAAATTTTTTTACTCGCCACAGCAATATTATAGAATGGACCTTTGAACAATGTTTCTAATTTTTTTGCATTGTTGGCTTGATATTTTCTTAGAAAAACGCGGAAATACAAGATCAATGGAAATTAAGTGATATTAATTATGAAACAGCATTTTCAGGATTAATATAATGGGAGAGCAAAGCACTACCTCCACTCCACTAACCGGGATCGTTGTGCCATGAAAAGAACCAAGGAACCAGTAGAAACTGTAAAAGAATATGTCAAAAAAACGATATTTAGAAGAAGAAAAGGGCTATTTTCAGCATTAATTAACCCCCTAAGCCCCACAGCTCTAAACCCTTCCACCTGACTCCACTGCCCCCGTATTTCAAGCGCTATGTTTGTTAGCTTTCCCCGTAAGGTTCGATCTTCAAAATAACTCGAGATAGTAAAGCAGTAAAAACTCATAAATAAGAACGTAAGGATGACATAAGAAATCTACAGGTGTGCAGAAATAATTTAAAACACTTCTGTTGCTAAATCAAAACAATTTTTAGGAGGCAACTTTGGTTGCTCGCTGGTGTCAGATGTACAAACGTATTCAACTAAAAGACTTTATTTACAAATTCGTGTCTAAGTTGACATTAAAATTTAATAATTATTAATCGGAAGGTCACATAAAGATTTATATCGCAATTCTAGACATTTGAGAACTAGGATCCGTAACATCTAGTAGAATTTTTCAAATTTTTCAAAACACTTTGTACCTCGACAAATAATAAAATGCATAGCCATATTTCTATGATGTTTATAAAATTCTCCTAGATGTGGCAAATAAAATTCTCCATGGGCAATTAAAAAAGTGACCCCTCACGGAAAAGTACTTTATATGGTATGAGAAAAACACGATTCAAATTGCTTGAAAGAGTTTGGTTTTCTGAAAAAGTATCCTGGCAAAGAACAAGCATTCAAAAAATGATGTTAAGCTTTGAATCGTGTTTCTAATATAAAAGAATGCAAACTTTTGAAGACTTCTTGCCAATTAGCCAATGAAAAGTAAATCCTTTACTTGGAGGGAGAGTTGCTGAAAGGGTTCCCCATATTCATGGACAAGATATGTCGGGTTCTAGAATGTAACTGCATGGTTTCCTTTCAATAGAAATTACGTAATGTGACCTTTAAGTGACCTTCACGATAAAAACACCCCTTCCAATCTGAACATACAATCTACCTCATACAAAAAAGATGTGAGATGATTTTTAAAAGTCTATTACATTTTACAATATACCCCATAATTGCTCCATACACGATTTGTATTCTACAAAAGGAGAAACTTAACTACCCGCCGAAAGTGCATTCAACTTAAAGGAAGTCTGGGACTAGTGACGTAATTTCCTATCATTATTATATTCCTCGAAACAATCTCAATACTGAAAGACCTCATGACCGGGTGTGGGATGAATTACGAGACAAATATCGACAAAATTTAAAGCCCTGGCGTTAGGAAAATATTTCACATAAATAATGCAAAACCAAGAATCTACATAAACGATAAATTTTGGGAAATTTGAGAAACGATGCGTCATTTCTCGAAACGATAAGAAATGATCAAAATCGTGCATCGGGCTCACTTTATATCGTTTTAATAATGTCAAAATCGCGTGTTGGGCTCACTTTATATCGGATTATTAATGTAAAGCTCACTTTTCGCCGTATAAATTTTTATTTAAAGGCTTTAGCGCAACCGGCATACTTAGCGGCAGTTGTCTTGAGAAACTGACGATAATAGGACGGTTTTTTAATAAATGTCGCAAAGCGTGCCGGTTGCACAAGAGTCTTTAAATGAAAGAATTTTTGATGTCCTGAATTTGGGCACACAATTTTAATAGCGATGTGACTTCACACAGCCAATCCGACGTGGCAGTACACGCACTCACAAGGGCCTATCTGATATGCAAACAAACAACAACAAAGTGAATCTGTATTATGCAGACAGGTCCATTTGAAAAAGTAAAGACGAATTCTCGTTCAATTACAGTTGAAATTCACTGAATTACAGTTGATATCTGTAATAATATTAGAATGTACTTGTGTCATTTACGTGATGAAAAACTACTAGTCCAACCAAAGGTTCTTTGAATGGGAAAATATACATTAAAAAGTCTTAAAACCCCAGCTGGATTCGTCGTCTTGAAAATAGAAAGAGTGGAAAATGGAACACCGCCAATATCCAAATGGCTCACAGCCCTAATACGCACAATCTAACTCACTGACTTGCGAAAATCAAAATGCTATAAGAATTCAGAATATTTACGGGCTAAAAAGGGTCACATGCAAATGAACTGTCTCCAATGTTACTATCTCAAGCCATCTTTTGCAAAGAAAAGCTTTTTAAGACAATATTTAGGGAGCATTGCAAACATTTGCTTTACTATCGAAGTTTTTCAAACTCGAAGTTTGTTCTTGCAAAATAAGCAGCTTGAAACTAGAATTACGATTTCAATATTGAATTACAGATTTTCGAACTGAGTCCAAGGGTAGACAGGCTATGAATCTATGAATAATGAAATAGAGAAATGGCGCATATCACAGCTTGCCTGTAGAAATTCTCAAAAGCTCCCTTTAAGGGGTCCATGAAGAAAATTTTCACAAGCGCCTTGATAATCGCCACAAACAGCTAATTTAACAGTATTGCTGTTTCTCTCTTAAAATTTTTAGTTTGTTGTTGGATTTGCACTCATTCAATAGCTGTGAGTTTCAAGTGTAGAACCTTACAAATGTCTGGGGCTTCACAAGTGATTGGATGTTTATAATCGAAATGAGTGACGTGGCTTACGGGAGAATGTTTTGAACTTAGGCCTTTTCGATTCGTGTTTTCTAGACGCGGGAAGTAGCACTGCAAAACTGTCGCTTGCTGCGTTAATAGGTGCGCAGTGTGACTAGAGAATAACGCAAAGCTTAGATTTGGGAGGAGCAGTTTTTACTTTGGTTGTTGGACCGTCATAGCCCAGTGTATTATTACGCATTATTTCTCTCTCTTTACGAGCGGCTTTCAGTTGCGCGACGTGTCGTTCTAAGTTTCGCCTCTGCACTTGGTGGAGGACTATTCGGTAAGTACCGGTAACTTGATTTTTGGAATCTTCCGGACAGTTTTCAATAAGATCGGTCGGAATACCAAATGTTTGTAATGCTTTAGAGGCCTCTCGCTCCTCTATCGAGCCTGCCGACGGGGACAGAGAGGGCTTCTGTTCGTATTTTTTGTATGGCTTTGGAAATTCTATACCTTCCAGCCAAAGGCTTCGCATTATCTCCGGGATTGTAAACCGGTCACTTGGTACCGGGCGTAAGATTTGCTTGATTAAAAAGCGACAGCTTTCGGTCAAAAAATCAGGAACATTGTATACTCCTTCTAGGATTTTTCTTTTTAATTTACCGACAGTTTCAGCGCGGAAAGGCATTGTGCCACAAACCATAAAATACAAAAGTACACCTAACGCCCAAACATCGACACATGATCCGACGTAACTGTCATCTTTGAACAGCTCTGGGGCTGCATAGGGGGGTGATCCGCAGAATGTGCTAAGTGCTTCGTCAGGCATTGATGCAGTGCTAAAACCAAGGTCACCAATTTTTACAACACCAAGACTGGAGAGAAAAACGTTTTCTGCTTTGATATCACGATGAATTATTCCACTCTCGTGCTGCAAAGACAATGAAATATTATTGGTGATATAAAGTTGAAAAGAAATAGTAATTGACTTGGAGCATGAACACAAAACAGGGTGGAATAGTAAACGGTAGAACGTTACAGCGTATGGGTTTATGTTTATCTGGTTCTTGGCTGGCTTTCAAACTTGAATCGGTGCCTAAAAACCTCAGAATAATAGAACTAAGAAAACAGCCTTACAAAGGATCCAGAGTTGCGAGGTTATGATTTCATTCTAAAGAATCTAATATGTAATCATAATAAGCTTCTTCGCATGAAAAAGAGAATCAGTAAAAATTGTTCTCCCCAAGTAGGCATCCTCTCTTCTGGCTACATGTCCTAGCCATCTAGCCTAGCGTTTATGGGCGAGAACAATTGAGAATTACCTGATTGGATACGTAACAATAGGTATATTGTGTAGTCCAACCAATGGGAAATTCAAGTGACCAGCGAAATGCATCGGGACAGTCCCGTTAACCCACAGTTACGAGGACGTAATTATTCATATTTTGATGTTGAGATGAATAAAACAGGGCGCTTATTGTCATTTCACTAACGTTCTTCACTGGGCATTTCTTTTATCGCAAACACTTTTCGTTATGAAGTTCAATATATTGACGAAGGTTTCTGGTAACTTACGCAAGAACTAACGAAACCGCAGCTTTTAAAACTACAGGTGAATATAGGCATGACCTTACGATATCCATAATGAATTGGGCAAAATAATAATTGTTGTGAATTCTCAACAGCAGTTAATAGGCTAACCAGAAACATGAGTTTTATCATGGAGATTAGCTAGCTTAATTATTAATCATCACATGTTTTCAGGGGGGATTCTTTTCAGGGGGGATTCTTCTCCGGGAGGAATGTAACAGTCAAGGAAGAAAAGAATTGCTCCTGACGTTGTTTCAATAGATTTATAAGAAACGAGTGCCTTCCGTAATCTTTACAATATTTCGATTCAATTCTTGCTATAAACTCATTGCATACAAAAAAGGTTACGACTTTGTTTATATCTTGAAAGTAAAAGAAAAAACAAAAAGAAAATAGCATTTTAGTTGATATCAATTTCCAGTTGTATATTAGAGAAATAACAAAAAATATGACTGGTGAATAGTCACGATGTACCTTAAATTCCAGAATAAAAATCAAAAGCGGAAGCATTTTCGCTGCGAGTTTGAGGCAGCTGATGATTCTTTTTTTCATGCGAAGAAGCTTATTATGATTACATATTAGATTCTTTAGAATGAAATCATAACCTCGCAACTCTGGATCCTTTGTAAGGCTGTTTTCTTAGTTCTATTATTCTGAGGTTTTTTGGCTCCGATTCAAGCTTGAAAGCCAACCAAGAACCAGATAAACATAAACCCATTTGTGGTAAGCGAGATTTTACGATTCTGTTAGATGGTATTCAGCTTCTATTGATTTTGGAAAAATTCCATCCCGCCGTTATGTTGACAGAAGAATTTGTTGGGTGAGCAGATTTTCTTTTTCTCCTTTCCTTATTTTTCACCTCATCCCCAATCTTCTTCTCCTCCTTATACTCTTTTCCTGTACTCTTCATCCAACCTATATTTTTGACAACATCCCCAGAATCGTCTTCTCCTTCTCTTTTCCTTCTAATCTCATGATTTTCTCCCCCTTTCTTCCTCTCTCTGATCTCTCTTTCTACCCTAATTCTTTCCATCATATCCACAACATGTTATTCTTATCTTTTACCCAACAAGATATATTTGTATTCGGTCAGTACATGACGTTTCGTATTAGGTTTCATAGTAGATATTAAGAATAAAAAACATTAAGTGTCCCAAACAACTACATTTTCTATTATGCTGAAAGTTCATATTAACTTTTTTGTTAATTTTACTAGTTAAAAATGTAACGTTGTAAGTAGTTCAAACCGTTAAATATCCTTCGAGGAGATCGATATTCATTCTTCATTGAATGGCTATCAAACGCACGTATTGTCAAGGTGAATCAGTTCAGAATTGCAGGTCCATCCACGAGAACCCCCCTGAATAAAACGTGTGTTTAGTTTCGCGGTTTTCCTTCGCCATGACAACGATTGAGATAAAACGAAAAGCAGTTTATTACGCATCCGAAAGGAAAATATAGGATGAATTTCACCGCAGCAACAACTACTAAGTCTTAGTTACGGTGATACGGAAAAATTGTTTTGAAACCTGAAAACTTCTCTGACACAAATAAGTCAAAAGCAAGCAACGTTGACATAATAACATCAAGTTAGTTTGTTGCAAATAAATGAAGAACGTTGCTTGTAGAAGCACGTGGCAACTGGGTTGAATGGCTCCTTAGTGTTCGTTTTCTACCTTAGCGCCCCTCTGCAGTAACAAAGTCATATAAAAATCAGGGTCTTTGCTGAATTTTTCTGCTGAAGGGGGGGAGGGGGTGTTCCGATCCTTTTGCCGCAAAAAGAGGGTGAAAAATACTTTATCTGTTGACAGGTCTGAAAATTTGCTTACAAGCACCCTTCGTTTTTACAATTAAAATCATATAAATTAAAAGGGGTTTTCACAGACCCGATGTCCCACCATAGCAGTGTTCCTGAGAAAAATGCTATTGAAAACAAATAATATTTCAATAAACAACTATTCACAGAGAAAGCAATAGGAGTTCAAATACAGAGCCAGTTGGCAGCAAATGAAAGCGTTTTGTCCACATATTGTAAAGTAAAGAATTAAACAATAAAAAATCAATTAAATAAGTATATTTTCTTTAGTCTGAAGTTGTTCAGTATAAAGAAATTCAAGAAAAACAATACTTTGTGCACTGTTTCATGTAACATGACATTTTTGAAACAATTTGGCAAAAAAACTCTCCTAGGCCCTAATAGAAACAGTCTCATGAAAAAAAATAAAATTAATGCTAATATCTGAGCAAAGACAAAGTTTATATTTGAGCACACTACCAGTTCCAGGCACCTAAATTTTTGAACTAACTGTTTAAATTTTTGACCTTACTGTTTTATTTAGGTCTTTTAATACACAATCTTCCTACTTTCACACTTTTTGAAGTGACATTTGGTGTGACTATGTATTGACCATTGTCAAAAGTAATTGTGTCTTCCATTGTATCAATGCCATTAACACCTTCCATTGTCTCTGTATCCACAGTAACTTAATCAACAACACTTTTGTAGTGTCCCCTCATTTTATTTGTATAAATCCTGTATTGTAATTTAATTTAATTCTGTTACAATCAAGACACACAAAAGGCATATCGTCCTTTTGCTGGCTCTGTGTTCTCTGCATGTAAAATAAGACACAGCACTGGTTGGAAATGACAGGTTAGTTGCTGGATGGTTTTATTAGTGAATGAAAGGCATCTATAAATCCACAACAATGTGCAATTCTCGTTTTACTAAAACTTTAACAAGGGTCTGCTATTACTGGAACTTGCTTTGCACTGTGAAACTAAACAACCCAGCTCTAAAGCATGGGTTTGTTTATTGATAGTAAATATACCAAGAAAATGGGAATGATTGCCCCTTGCCTGCCACTTGTAAAGCAAATTGTGACGAATAGAAAACTCTATCCTATTATAATTTAGGAAGAAAAAATTACAAACACAGTATTGAAACACAAATTATTCCAATATTCTTCTACAATTACCAATTTGTGAAGCGTTTAGTTCATTTTTTATTTTGTAACTATTTTTGAATGAAAAACAGAGATGTTAATGATCTGAAATTAAGGTTATGCTAAACGTCAAGTTATTGTTTGTGTGGCCTTCAATCATACTACAAATCAAGACTCCATCTTTTGACAATGCCACTTTTGCAACAATTGATTAAAACCCAAAATAAAGACCCAGTTTTTTCAGAAAAACCAAAAAGGAAATATCAATTTAAGAGTAGCCACAGCTCTTTCAAAAAAATAAAAGTTTGACCAAAGGAAAGATTAACAAGTCAATTATTGACAAAGTAAAACCTTATTGATTGATTTGGTTAAAACTCCAGTATACATCATATTTTGGATTTTTCAAAAAATATTTGTTAGGGATTTCAGGCAAATTTATTGCAAAAATTGCCAGTAAGCTACAACAGCACTTTAACTTTACGATATCATCAACTTTTTAATATCAGCAATAAGTGAACAAAAAATATAGCCAACAAATCAGGGAAGATGAAAATCATGTTTAAGAAGAGCTTTCAAAAGCTGGAAGAAGCAACAAGTCAATTTCAGCCTTTGAACAGCTATTATCTATTGAAATCTAATAAGAAAAAACTTAAACATTTCCAGCTGTGGTATTGTCAAAACTTCAGAGAAGCTTACTATGACATTTAGGGGTCACTACAAAAAACCTTAAAGCTACTGTGAATAACAAAGTTTTAAGAATATTGAGAATCAATTTGCTAAAATTTAAGAATAATTTATAAGAATATATAATTAAATGAATTCTCTAACAGGTTATGAACTTCATTGACTGTTTTTAAACTACTAGTTCTCAGGTCTATGTGAGTTCTGAGGAAAATTTCCAATTTATGCAAAGAAAAACCTTTTTTCATATGTGATGGTTTCAAAAAAGAATAATTTAAGAATATGCTTAGGTTCAGTATCAAGAATTTTTAAAAACATTAAGGTTCATAAGAAATTAAGCTATTTATCTAAAACGAATTACTCACCATATGGTTTACAGCTGACACAACTTGAGAAAAATATTTTTTTGCCAATCTTTCAGGTAATTTTCCTTCATTCAATATCTTATGGAATAATTCCCCACCACTGGCATATTCCATCACCATAAAAACTTTCGAGAGTGTCTCGATCACCTCGTAGATCCTGATTATGTTCGGATGACGTAAACGTTCCATTGAAGAGATTTCCCTAGAGAGCAATCTCTGCGTTTTCTGGTCCAATTTGGTTTTGTCGAGAATCTTGATTGCGACCTTTTCTAGAAATGTTTATCAAAATCTGGTTAGAAAAAGAGAAGATTCACGATGCAGGTTTGAAAATTCACACGGTTCTCAATTCGTCCGACAGATATCTTCGTGTTTCACCTACGTTTGATGACTCAAAGTGCAGAAAATTTGGCAGATTTGTTTTCTACAATGAGGCCGAAAATATACGTGTTAATGACGCACAAGAACATAATGGAAAATTCGTCGACGATTTGGTAAGAAGACACACCAAATACACGCAAAGATGGTAAAGAGGAAGATAATGGTAAAGGTGAAATAACGATTAATATCCACAGATCATTGCGAATGAATATGTGATTCAACGATAGTTTGAAGGTTAAACAGTCTACTCGATTGACTAAAGAACCGATTGGGATTGTAATACAAAATTCAAATCAAGACCTCAACTTTTCGTGTTGAAATTGAAAATTCATCAAAAAGGAAACTGAAGCGATTGAACTTGAAAAAAGAATAGTGCCACCAACAAAGTGATTCAATGAAAAACTTCATTCAAGTTATGAAAGTTATCAAGTATTTTTGTTCAGGTCTCCAATAGAAATAAAACAAAACAAAGAGATCTACCAGCAACTGAAGTTGTCAAGTCCCTTAACAGCTTATAGCTTCTTTCCGGAATCAAACAAGGTTGGCAATAGCTGAAACTTTTAAATCTTTAAACAGCATAACAATATATTTAACCATCAAACAGTACAACTGTCGTGTCGGTTTTGTTATGAAAAAGAAGATTAAATATGCCCAGGCAATCTACCGGCTAATCGAGGAGAGAGATATGCTAGCTGCCCAGTGTTGGGAGATCGGTTGGAAATCAATACTCCGATTAATGGGGTTCCTTTAGGGCTTCATTGCCATAGCTTTTAAGTTATTAAAGCGTATAACAAGATACCCACCTCACCCATCGCTGTACCACTCAAGGCACGGGATATATTTTCCCGCAAAGCAAACAAATACATCAAAATGTTTATTTTGTTGCGCAAATGCAGGCTTAAATCAGGCACTCCATGCCATTCAATGAAATTATATTTATATATCATACTTTGTTTACCTTTGGCAATGCAGTGAAATCCAAGTTTAACTTGGGAAAAGTTCCCACTTCCAAGATCACCTCGGATTCGGTAGAATCCAATGCGCCTCCCACTTGAAATTTCTTTGAATACTTTTTCGTCATTTTGCAGCTCCCTTGTCAGTCTCTCATACGGCGTCAAATTTACATCATTTTTATCATCATCTGCAGTTGTATTTTGGTCACTTGGTTTATGAAATTCAGCATTTTTAGCATTGTTATTTACCTCCATCGGAGGTTCAACCTCCACGGCCATCCTTCCATCCTCAAATTATTTGAATCATGTCGAGAACCTGTATCCATGGAGTTTCTAGCGCGGGACCTCACGCGCAGATCTCCTCCACACAAACTTTGCGGTTAGTAGTTTCAAAGTTTCTTTTATACATACAGTTTTGTATATTACCATGTTTTACAAATTTTCCCTCCCAATTTGTCAATTCGCATCATATTTGAAGGTACTTCTCGGTGCCCTTTCAAGTTATATGGATCCAAGTCAGCAATTTTTAAGTATATTCTATCTCCTAATGATGTCGTAAAATAAAAACTCGGCACTCTGGGCTCTCGAGCATACAAAGGAATGTCTCTTTTTTGGAATTTTGAAGTCCTTTTTGGAGTCCTCAGTGGCATAACAAGGGCCCTTTTGGTCATTAGAAATAAAACTGAAACGGGGCCCTATCTACGAACTGCAAGACGATCCCATCCAGTGGTCTTTAGCATGTTCATCAGCACAGCAAATTGCGAGAATGATAATTTTTCCCTAACAAGGAGAGCTGATTTACATGCCTCAGCTAAAGAACATTTAAAATTTTTGAAAAAAGGGGACTCGAGAACAGTCTTAAGAACATTGGTATCAAAAATTTGGGCGGCCTTTTAGATCGAGGCTCTTGGTTACGGTATCCTTAACTGCATTACGTTACGTCACTGCCTTTTTTACAAAAGTCTGCAGGTCAAGGACCGCGGAAGCGGAGGGCTACAGAGATCTTAGCCCCTCAATAATTTTCTAAATAATATCCAAAATGTGCTTAGAATCATAACAAAATTTTCCAAAATGTTTAGCCCCCCCCCTAAATAATTTAGCCCCCCCCCTCAATCAATGATACGCTCCGCGGTCCCTGATTCGTGGTTATTTTTGCTTCTCCAAAACTAGGTAGTACGTTTTCCTAATCCCAAACTCATTGGCATTCAAAAAGCCTGCAATAGAAGTTTTGTTAGCAAAAGATTCTAATTGAAAATTACGATTTAAAATGGTGTTCTGTTATTAATAAGAAACGCAATACCAACAATTTTCGAAGCAACACTTTTTGCATATTCATTAAAGAAATAGTCTTATGGATCAAATTTCTGTGTTTCAAACGATTTTGCGCACGCATAGCGCATAACCCATTATTTTCCTTGAAAAAATCTTTTTGTTTCCAATGAATTGATTATCATATTTCATAATTCATAACGTCATAATTCAACGCGTATTGAGAACAATCTTCTTTCTGTTGAGGTATTTTGATAGCAGAATTTTCTTAACCATAAGGCTGACAACATATAAGATCTTTAATGTATTCAACCACTAGGCTACCTGCTGTAGATACTTCATGTAAAACGTGCAACAATTCCAAATGTTACATTTTTACTGGCTACTTTAAATAATTTAACTTCAGTACTTTCATCCTCCTTTCTAAGTTTTTTAACATTTTTTAAGGACATTTATTTTCTTCTTCAACGAATACCTACGAATAAACTGTGTATAGATGACATGGAAGGCAATGCCAAATAAACTTTTCTCCCCTTTTCACATTTCTTCGCTGAGCAGATAGTTAGGACCCGTATCCATATATCTTCTGAATGTTAAATACTTTGTTTTGGGATAAAAGCAAACCTTAGGTGGCGTTTACTGAGGAAATTACTAGAACTTCAAATAAGTTCTATATAGGTAATGAATTCTTTACCTATTTACTCTTAGGTGCCTAATAGACGAGGGACTGGAAAAATCATCATCAAGTGACGGAGGGTTTAAAATAAACCACCGTGGCTCTCCATTTTCTCCTGTCCTGTGCCATTCGAAATATCTCTACAATACTTCTTCCATCTGCAATTTCTTTGATATTGTCGCTGTATCTAACTTTTGGCCTTCCTCTTCCTCTCTTTCCATAAACCATTCCCATAAATAAATCTGTTGTTATGTCATTCACCCGAAGTATGTGACCTATAAAAAACATTTTTCTTCGGTTTAGTGTTGTTAGTAGCCGCTCGTTTACAGTCATCTTCTCCAGTACCCATTCATTAGCTTTCTTTTCAGTCCACCTGATGCGCATTAGACGTCCGTAACACCATAGCTCAAAAGCTTCTATCTTCTTTTTGTCTGACTGTTTCAGCACCCAGCATTCTGAGTCATAACTCGTTATACTAAAAACCAATGAGTGTAGCAGCCTTTTCTTTGTAGCAATTGTTATACTTCCATATGTTCGTTAGTGATACCATTGCATTTCTTGCTATACATGATAATCTTCTGCGAACTTCTTTCTTGTCGTCGTAATTATCAGTAATCAGTGTTCCGAGATAGATAAATTATTTTACATTTTCGCTTCTCTCATTTTCATCGACTATTATATGCTCTGCTTCATCATTTTCATTCTGGTTATTCTTGATTATTTTCATAACTTTTGTTTTACTTGCGTTCATTGCAAGTCCAAATTCCAAGCTTGCGTCTTTAACTCTGTTAACTAGGTCTTGTAATTCTGCCAGGCTACCAGCCAATCCTGGAATAATCAGCGGGCTGAAAACATTAGAAAAATTCAATAAGTGAGGGGGAGGGAAGGGGGTTGGAATAAGCGGGGGCTGAAAATTTTAGAAAATGACACAAGTGAAGGAATGGGGATGGCGTGGCTTGAAAATCCGGGAAGTAGAATAAACGGTTCGAAATCTAAATTAATGCTGCGGAATGAGAATGCTTTTGATTCTCTCTATGACTAAGAATGCAAATAACAACAAAAGCATTGATTAACACAAGAAGAGAACATTAATGGAATTTGAAGTAGATCAATTTTTACACAAAAATTGTGACAATTTATGGTCTCAAAAGCTTTTTGCCAAGAAATTACATATCTGTGTATTTCTCTTTACAGGGCCTAGGCCATTGAACTAAACCTGGAGGGACCAGCAGTGTAAAGAAAGTTTCATATTACCCTCTCTAGTCCCAATTACCTCAAAATAATTTGCTGACGCTATTTGTTGCAATCAACAGATTCATCGATTTAAAGTAACTTGTGCTGATTTTAATATTTCATTTCGCAAAAAGTGCAAGTAATACGTACAAGTAACTGCAGAGATGGTTGTTATTATAGCGGGCACTGATACTTGGCAAACAGATTTTAATATTGGCACCTCTTCAAACTACAACAGGATGAAGAGCTTCTACAGAAATATTATAACCATAGAAATATCACAACATAATATCATGATATCATAATTCATAACTTAAGCACGACAATTATAGGGAATAGCTCTCTCCTCTTTTAGATTTGCTACTATCGGAGCTCCTTTTTCAAAGAATTCCCTTTTAACCTTCCTTCCTTTTTTTGTGTTTAAAATTTTTTGAAGGAACTCCTGAAAGTAAAGGAATTTGGTTTCTAAAATGAAATTTTCAAAATAGAATTTGTATGAATTCAGCATTAGGGGCCCTCACTGGGCCTTTGTTACTAAACATCGCTGTTGGTGAATTATTAGTTACTACGACGTAGAACTTTTATAAAAACGCATTACATAGACTTGTTGGTTAAAAACTGCTAAGACTAGCAATTATTTTTGTCAAACCTGTAACTAATTCTTCCTTGCGATATTTTAGCGACACACTTTTACTAAAACATTAGAAGATTCAAACACATTCGGTTTTTAAAGCCATTAAGGAAATTGGAGTTTGTACAACGTAATTTTTTATTCTTCGAGCAAATACGTTTCAGTTCTTATGCTACAAATTCTCATCAAACATCAAAACGAAGACCACAAAATATTTACAAGAGCCTAAATGCAAAACTTCTTCAGTTCTGATCATTTTGTTTGCTTGACACAAATATCAATTTGGAAATTTTCATTAACATAATACTTTTTTAAAAAAATGCTTGCTTGGTAAATGTCACACAGACAATCTGCAAACATCTGTTCAAACAGTCGACAAACCAATTGATTGATTATCCCATTTAGATAAGGCCTAAAATCGATCGAAATTGTAAACGTAATTGACAGTTTCGAGCGTACCCTTGTCTGTTAAAAGTTCATACTCAAGCTTACCTGTATCTAGCAGGTTAACGATTTTTAATGCTTAGTATTGGGAAATGTGAGCCAGGCTCAAAATGACCTATCCACATCAAAATGACCTATCCACAATTTTAAGTTTCACATTGAATACTTTTCAAATCAAATCTATTCTGGAACTACTAAGGCTTCGTGAAATGCTCAAACTATTAAAATCATTTAAAAGAATATTATTCCTTCACTATGAAACAAGGCATTCTTTCAGTGGAGATATACTTAAATAAAAATACGCTTCAATTAGGCATGAAAGTGAGAAACTTTGGGACGATCACTACCTCGAGATTCTCTGAATGCGTGGCTTTGATAAGCAGTGGGCGTCAATTTCTAGTTTCTTTATAGAAAAAAGATGTATTTAGTTCACTGTAATTCTTTAAAAAAGCGCACATCTTCGAATTAGCCCCCCCCCCTTAAATTATCCCACGCCTAAAATTTTGTTGTTTTAATTAGACCTCACCTCACCCTCGAATAAGCCACCACGGGCTAAGTTATTGTCTCGGCAGCAATAGGTTTATCCCAATATGTCATCGTTTTCAAGCATGACCAGCCTCAAATCAAGTAAGAAAATTCACCCTGGTAATACTTTGGTTGCTGCTGAATAAGTCCCGACCTATTTTTGGCGAAATACAGCCCCTGATATACGCGGGGTTAAGGAAAAAAGCCCGCCCCTTGCAGAGAGTTATGAAATCGAGGCTGCCAGGCCTATTTCAAATTTGCACTGCTTTACAATAAATGTTAAATGTAATAAATGCACTGAGATGGAAAACTTTGATGAAGATGACGAGGAATGTCCTGATCTTGTCTCAGTGACGCCAAAGAAGATCCCTGTAACTATTATAACTGGTTTCTTAGGTGAGAATGGGGCCATTTTATTCAATGATATGTATGCGTGCTACTTATTCAATGATATAATATATTGATGATATTGCAGCTAGGGATATAAGCATTTTGTCTCCCAAACGGGGAAAATCTCCCTTGGCAGATCGGGAGTATTTTTCCTTTACATGGCTATTTTACGACCAAAAAGGCTTAGGCGGCTCTTTCTGATCAAATCTATCAAATATTTAAATTCTGCATGTCAAAAACGGGGGTTTATTGAAAAAAATATGCATGTCATCGTTGGAAATTGGGAGCTTTTGGAGAGTTTAGTTTTTGATGCCGGCATTCGTGAGATGTAGCTATTGTTATTCATACCCTCTTTTTGGTGGCTTATGTGTGTGCTTTCATTTTCAGTTTAATAAAGTTTCAGATAATATACTGACCGTGAGGTAATCTCTACATTTACGTTTAAAGAATCAATGCTTCCACATTGTTGCAATGAATAGATACGGTGTTCAAATTCTTGATCATTTAGAGATTGTGATGAAATTATCTTAGATAATAAGTTACGCATTAGTTTTAGTAAAGAAGTTACAATATAGTTGTTTGTAAAATCAAATGGTTTAGCCAAAGCTTTGTCTCGATAGTCATCCTAATCCCAGAGCCGAAAGGGGTCAGAAAGCTGGTGAAATGGTGGTAGCTGGGGGAGGGGGTGTCAAAAATTCATATATTTTTGGAGCTGTCATGGTTTGCATGATGCCTCAAAATATGTCCAAGGTAAAGAAAAACATTAGATTACGAAACTATAGACTTCATCTGAACCTTTTCTCTCCTAGAACAATACCTATAACAATAGAGTATGACATCACTAAAACTTCAAATGCAAATTCTGAACGATTTTCAATCATGACCTACCATTTTTTCATGGATATATATGTATTTGATGGTGTAGGTTTAAAAATTGATGTTTAAAATTCCCGCCAGAAGTTCTTTCGTGCATTTTTGTGCAAAAAAGTGATATTTTCTCCTGATCAGGAGAAAAAGTAAGTATAATTTCTTCTTCCAATCGGGAGACACTTTCTTGAAACTACCCAATCAAAAGAAATGTCTCCCGATCAGGAGAAATATCTTTGTTTCTCCTGATCGTGAGACAAATGCTTATATCCCTAGCTGTATAAATGCTATGCAATTCTAGTAAGTTATTGGTTACAGTTAGGGTAGGAGCAGAGCATGGCTAGGATTATGGCTGTAGCAGCATCTTCTACTAAATCAACTTGTGATCATTCTAGGTTCATGCTTACTAGACAATAGCTGATTGATTAAGTTGCTGCAGTGAACTTAATACATGTAAATTTTCTTCTAAGCCAAGTTGAAAAAGACTGCACCCACTTGCAGTTAGCAATGTTTAAACTTTCTATGGAATCAAATCCAATGCCCCAAACTTCTTTGTGCACATCACTTCCTTAAACAGAGAGAATAAAAAAATATTATGTTTGCATGTTGTTTTCATTCCACTCACAGCTGGTACCCCAAAAATGTAAGATTCTTGCTGCTAAAGTAGCTAAAATTATACATACAATGCTTGTTAAAAGTCTTGGTGCACTAATGTCAGTTTCCAAGGGCAAATTCAGCCATACCCCTTCCCCCCTTTGAACAATTTTGGTTTACTACAAAACAACATTAGGGGATTAGGAAGAACTCTTTTTTCTGCAACTTCTATGTTTTTTTCTTTATTACCAATCATCTGAGGGGGGAGGGGAGCATTTGATAATTATGGGTAAGAATTTTCTTAGTGATCCTATATTAATGGCTGCGTTATTTGAAAATAATAATTCTTTTGAGTAGCTATGGGTGTAACCAACACATTACTAAAACCAATGAACATAATTCAGTTGAAAGCACCCCATTGAATGTGTTTTTTAATGTCTGATCTAATGAAATAAGTTTTATTAAACTAATTATATAAAATATTCTAAATCACACTGTGACTGTGACTGGTAGTTTCTTCTGTGTTTAGTCATCATCATCATCATTAGCCTGTCACACCACTGCTGGCGGATGGCCTCCACATCTTTCTCCACTCATCACGGTTTTGGGCACTCTGGGTCCACGTGCTGCCTGCCTTCTGCTCGATCTCATCTCTCCATCTTTTCTTTGGTCTTCCCTTTCCTCTCTTCCTGTCCCACGGAGTCCATTCTTTCGTTTTCTTAGCCCATTCGTGGTTCTTCATTCGAGCTACATGTCCTGCCCACTTGCCATAAGATTTTTTATTTTTGTATTTTTAGATCTCATCAAAATTTTTGTTGATACATCTGGGCAGGGCTCATTAAAAATTTTTCTACCTGCCAGCACAAAGCTGAGTGAAAATGTGCCTGCAAGTAAAATAGGTTGCAATTTATAGTCAGATGCTGATAAATTGGGAATCTCCCTGTTACGTTTAGTATTGCTACACCAACCAACATTTGTCAAAAGCAGATACCAGGTCAATGTCATCATGAATTATATGTAGCTACATGTGAAACTGAACAACTGACATAGTAAATAACAACCTCCATATCATAAGCAGAAAATCCACGCCAAAATTATACTCCAACTGTAAACTGACCTTTGAGAATCAGCTCATTCTCAAAGGTTGGCCTTTGTTAGAAACATTGTACATTTGCGGGTAAAGCTGTAAAGGAGCAGTGCGGACCATCAAAAGCGCTCGCACCTTGCGCAGTTGTCATCAGTAATTTCAGGATTAACAACACTTTGAGATCAAAAACTGGAAATCTAGCCCTCTGATTGGTCCAGCCCATAACTATGGTCTGAAACTCACGAGATAGCGTATAGACTGCATTCGAACATAGTCTACATATTTTCATTCTTGTTTTGGCGTGGATTTTCTGCTTATGATATGGAGGCTGTTAAATGCTCATAGTGTCATATTTTGTACATAAGAAAAGGAATGATCCAGTTTTTATCTACAGGTTGTTTTGGGTTGTCAAGTAGCCCTATCCCTGTTATTGATTTCATCAAATAGAGACATCTTCTCAATCTCATCAAAGGCTTTCCAATATCTTAATCTTAAAAAAAAATTTTATAAAAAATCTTAAACGCTTTACTTTGAAGGGAGCAGTTCTGTTTACAACATCTTCCTTCAAGATTTGTATTTTTAGGGATTTTCCCTTCGCTTCATTGGCAAAGGTTGCAAGAATTTCAACATTACACTGGGTTTTTATTTCAAAGATACATATATTGTTTTTTGCAACAAAAGATGCTATTCCTGTTGAAAATGTCCTTGTCAACATAGTAACTTATAAGGAAACTCTATACTCTGCTCTTGAGCTTTGACTATATAAACTCTATCATGCTTATAAGATTTGACTTTTTTGATTTGAAAATGTTTTGACTTTTCATTCTAAAAATTAAAGACATAGGGGCTTATTTGCGTTGTCATGAATTGTCAAAAAGTTTTGTTTTTGGTTAATTCTTTGGAGATGTACCTAATAATTTTGCTTCAGTAGGTCAGACATTAATACCTACCAGATTCAAAATGCTTGGCAACTTTTACTTAAACGAGCATGCTTTATTCAGCCTACTATTTTACAAGTCACACCATAATAGTAATCAAGAGAAAATAGAGGAAAAGAGACAAAAAGCCAACCTGATATTGAGAATCAAACTGATAACCAAAAGATTTTCTTCATTTTGGTTGTAAAGACTTGCAACTTTTACCTTTTAAATTCTATTTGTCTGTTCAATCTCGATACCAAGGAAGATGTTTAGAGAAAGCCAGACTGTAATACAATAAAGGTAAATAAGAAACAATTAAAAAATGTGCTTGCATAAATTCATGAAAATGGGTTTTTGTGCCTGGGAGCATCGCTTGTGCACTCATGCAGATTAATGAGGTCTGCTTCTTGGTCTCTTAATTATCATGTGATTATTTAAGTGACTCTAGGTACTTAAAGCCATTTCTCTGGGAATACATTTCCACAGTCATTTTGAAAGCTATTATTTCAACCCTTTTGTGCCACATGTTAATAGATCCTCAATTAGCCATACCTCAATTGACCAACATTAATTGCTTATATGGCTGTAATTTGCCAGGGTTTCAAATCTAAACTTAAATCTTTTCTTTTTTGCTATAACCTGGGTTTTTTATTATTGATATTTTTCATGTCTATAGGATCTGGTAAAACCACACTTCTGAACTACATACTTACAGAACAACATAATAAAAGAATAGCCGTCATATTGAATGAGTTTGGTGAAGGTGATGCATTTATTTTTCTGTAGTCTGAAAGTTTATTTGCATCGATTTCTATTGAATATGTATGTATTTATTGTAAATAGAACTAATCTGAATTTATTTTCTTATTTTCTTGAAAGTATACCGTTGATGTTTTAGGCTTTTCATGTAACTTATTAGGCAATGCCTGTAGCTACCTAAAGACTTCATAATTTTTGTATACAGTCAGCATCCTAGATTTTGATTCTATGATGATTTTAATTGTTCTGAAGCTGAAGTAAAAAAATCTCTTTGTACCCCTATTTAAAATCATAAGAAAGCGACTTTGCCTTTTCGTAACTGAATGATTTCATAACAAAATTGTTCAATGTTGCTAATCTATTTTACTTCTGCTTATTGCTTTACATCTTACAAAGGACTATTTTTTTCTCAGGCTCTGCTTTGGAGCAATCACTGACTATTGGTAAAGAGGGGGATCTTTATGAAGAATGGCTTGAGCTGCGCAATGGTTGTCTCTGCTGTTCTGTCAAGTATTTGCTTATTTTGTTTATTTTGCATGTGCACATGATCTGAGGTGTCATTTGGTTTTTGATTAGAAGATTAATTATCAGGAATCAAAATGACATTACAAAATAGCATTTCATCGAATAATCGGAATATTATTTTGAGTTTCCATTAATGTATTCTTTAATATGAGAGAACGGAGTACGAGAGAAATTTAGAAAGTGACATTTATAAAGAGATGAAAATTGCTTAATATTTAAGTTTTTCTCTCCTTTAGGGACAATGGCGTAAAAGCAATCGAAAATCTGATGGAAAAAAGAGGAAAATTTGATTACATCCTTTTGGAAACGACGGGTTTGGCAGATCCTGGTCCAATTGCTGGGATTTTCTGGCTTGACGAAGAACTATGTTCAGATCTTTATCTTGACGGTATAATTACAGTCGTTGATGCAAAATATTGCAAACAGGTTAGTAGTCGATCACTAATCATTGATTAATCATAAAGCAAATCATTGTCATAATCAGGCAAGCTACATGCACTTCTCGTAAATTGTTTATTTATCGCGTAATTTCAACATTTATTAACGTCTATAGAGAAGCATTTTAAGAATATCAATTGTGATGGTGGAAGAATATTTGCCTTTCTGAAAGTTTTTGTTAAATTGATTTACACTTTCCATGTTTATTTGTTGATCTGCCGAGTTTTCCAAGCCCATTTTTGAACACTTATGTTACAGGAAATGACACCTTAGTGGCAGTATTTTATTTATTTCCTCTTTTTTACGCCGTCATATTTTATATTGTCTTTTTTTCACTTTATTTTTCGAAGCGTTAAGCAATGTTTCGTTTCAGGGAAACGATTCAGCTGCGAGCTCTTCGGCTGTGTAAATCCTTTATAATTTTCAGCACTGTTTGTCATACCTATTGCTGTCTGGTTGCTTGCTAGAGCGCTACACGTGATTTCCAGATTTGATAGTTATTCCAGAAACCTCAGAAAGATATTCTACCGTTTCTTGTTGAATTATTGTTAGACTGACCTGGTTTCAGGAGCACAGGGGTGCATGGGGGCGGTTGCCGTTTGCCCTCGTCATTTTTTTCTGCTATTGTTTTGTCATTTTTCCTTGCGCTTTGCCCCCCCCCCCAGCCTACAGACCTTATGGCGCATCTGCCTTTATTTGAATCATAAGCAAACCAGATTCGTGGGCGTGATCTAGAAAGCTATTCCCATTATAATTAATAGAATATTTATGTATTCAGTTTTGGTTAAGCATGATGACGTCCTGTCAGATTAACGCTATCTAGATATCTGTCTTATAGCTCATACAGATTTAAACTACAATTAGCTTAGACAGTTGGTAGACAGAGCTACTGAGAAACGTAAATGAGAATCAGGACAAGAATAAGAGGCTCAGAGAACTCTGTCTTCGCTGTTTTTTTGAATTCCTTTTCTGTCAATAACATACGTGTTATTGTTATGCAGCATGTATTCCACTGGCTTGGACTGTACGAATTCTAGTTGCTGTGTTCTGCAGACCTCAGACATGTTAGTTGAAATACACAACAGTCAAAACAGGAAAGTTTCATGATAAATTTACAGTAAATAGAGAAATACACTTTTTCTATGAGAACAATTTTATAAGAACACAAGCCTCAAAATTTATCAGAAGTTAAGAACAAATTAGAACAAGCTGAGACTGAGCTACTGTTAAATTCAATTTTAAAAAATGTTGTGAAACCCCCCTTAAAAATTTCATCCCAAAACGAGGTGTTTTCTGCCATCTAGGGGTGCTTTGTCGGTGAATTTTCAAACTTGGCGGCAAATAAGGGATGTCTCACTCATTTTATTGGCAACTGAAGCCTGAACACCTCCCTACAGCACAATAGCTGACAATTGCATTGTTTACACCCTAGTAGTTTAAGTACAAATCAAGGACAATCCAGCCTAGATTTTGCGATAAAATTACGAAACAGGGTGTAATGTGCAACTCGAGTTCGTTGGAGATAAAGTCCACTCTTTTTAAGGCCAAATTCTACATTGGTTGCTCATACTTCTGACTTTCGATATACCAAAACTAGTTCATATTTTTTCCACAAAATACTGTGACACATTGATGTCGAGCAAGCGATATTACAATATATATCCCTGGTTAAGGGAAAATATTTCTCTGTTTTCAAACACTATTAATTTAGAAAACCTTCCGCCAACAGATATCTCTGATCCAAAGTAGATTTCCTCTGAATGTTTAAAGATAGTGATTGGTGTCGATCCACCACGAAACGGGACCACCAATCCAGTGACTTTTTTTATGAATTAAAACTTTAAACTACAACTAAAGCTACTTAAATATCTGAGAGAGATATTGGTCTGTAATTCTATTTAAGCTGTCTACATTCCTTTTTATGAATAGGTACAACATTTGACTTTTTCCAAGCAGATGGGTATACTCCAGTTTCTAAACATTTTTCATATATAATGTAGAAAGTCTCGAAATAGTTCATCGCATAATTTTATCATAGTTATTGAAATGCTGTCATCACCATGGGATTTTTGTGGGTCCAAGGACCGTAATGGTCGTAGCAATTTGTCAGGATCAACGAACAGGCTCTCCAAAGTTACATTACATTTAGAAAGGCACCGCAGAGCGTTGATAAAAATGGGGATCTAAAAAGTGGGGGGTGGGGGATTAAGCCGAAAAAAATGGTTTGACTGGTGATTCATTGGTAAACTTTTTGCAAAAATTGGGGGCTATAGCCCCCCAGCTCCCTTCTCCGCGGTGCTTGTTAGATGCAATAGTGGGAAGAGAACTGCTTGTTTCCATAGTACAATATTGCTTTATGAAATAATTATTTAAAAAAGTTGCTTTCGTCTTTTGTCCAGTGACGTTCTTTTTCTTGATATAAATTATTATCTCTCATTACTGTAAGCATCTCCAGCAACTGTCTGTTGTCACCCAGTGGCTCTATTTCGTTGGATATATCCAAGATTGATGCCATTTCCCGCTATCAAAACAAATGTTAGATAAACTATTTTGGCCTAAATTTGGTCAATGGTTGCATATCTGTTACAATACTTTTATAGAACCGGACATGGTATTTTTGAACAAACCGAGTTCAGTTTCTGGGCGTTTAGGGGAAGAAGCACCCGATTATTACAGGGTTGCCCATTCTTCTTAGGGTGAATTTAACCAAAAAGCAATCATTGTAGTTGAATACAGAGTTGGCGCCAGTTTTCTCAACGAACTACAATGGCTATAAAATGCTATGATATACTACCGGTGTTACAAACTCAGTTTTGATTTAACCAGATGGATATGCTGCTTTAACTGGAGGATGGCTTATATCTGACGAGAAACCTGTTGCCCCCTTGCCCGTTCCTATCGCCACCCTATGGTGAGTTTAAAGATAAAGAGTTTCCATTCGTCTTTCGGTTGATTATGGACCAAAAGAGCTATTTCCATCGACGTACCTGGATTAATGTTGTTCTTAACCATAAATGTTTTTTCACCTAATACTTAGGGGCAGCTCGAGTCAATTTCCTTATTTTTGTTAAACTATCAGATCGTTATTTTCCACGACATGGATAGGGGAGAGCTTCAGAGTTCACTACCTTTTTTGTTTTAGTACTTGAATGAAAAGAAAGAGGATGATTTGATAAATGAATGTGCAAGGTGAGTTTAAATTATACGGAATTTTCACAATGCCTAAAAGACATTATGTAAAACACCAGCACATATGGATGGGGCTGGCCATTGTGTTTGAGTTTAATCTAATGATTTGCATTGGCAAAAGTTAACGTTCATTTACACATGCCCACAGTTGTCCTTTATGATAATAGAAAGTCGCAACTGTTTTTAGAATTATTGGATAAAATATAAATTTGAAATATCACATTGAAATATCAATATCCCTTTAATAAAAGAAGACATAATTAAACCGTATAGGTAAGCTGTTACAGTGTGATTGTTGATTGGCTGCTTTTAGTCTAAGAGTGATCTAATTCTTTATACTTAGATGTCCATGATCGTAATCATGACATTGTGACTGTTTTCCTCGACAAAATAGTTTATACATATAAGAATTATTGACTTTGTGATTCAAATCATGAATCGATGTGATTTAAACATTTGCAAATTCGTCACGTTTCTCTTCTCTAAAGCAATAACAAAATTGTTTTCAATTAGAAGTTGAGGTTATCTAAGCTCAGTTGAAGCTTGTTTTTGTTTTCTACTTTTTTATTTGTGATTTTTGCGATACACAGATGAAAAGTTCTTTTCCTTTAAGAGCTCTTAAACATTTCTTTGTGCGAAGTTAATTTCGATCGATATTTTCATGGACCCTTTCTTGCCAAAGATGTCACAACTGCATTAGATTCGTTCTTCCTTTTAGCCCACACTGTTAAGCTATTTACCGTGTTACTGTAGACCGCGATGAACTACTGGAAAAATGCTAAAATGCAATACAGGGTTTCTGTGATTAATAGGCAAGACAAACGCACAAAAGTATAGTGTTAGCAATTTTTTATTGTTACTTTCAATCGTTGTTTTTGCCTTCCATAGTTACAAATATCAATCTGATGTTTATCTTACAGGCAAATTGCCCTTGCAGATCTCATCATTTTGAATAAATGCGATCTGGTCGAGAATAAAGACTTGGAATCTTTACATCAAGACATAAGGTAATGTACCGCATGGTATACCAGTCTGTTAGTTCGTCGATTTCAAGACTTCATTTTTCACTACGAAGTACCGTTTGGATGAGCTGCATGCACTCAAGTTTAGCAAGGAATTCTTATAGATTTGACCTGTTTGAATTGTCAGATATTGGATCTTCAAAGAACCGCAAATGATTTTTACAACTGAATCACGTTGAATAGAGATCAAAATAGTTTTACGTTTATCCTGTTGCTTGGTAGTTTCAATCATGTGTAGAGAATTTCAGAAAAGAAATAGTCACAGTGAATTTAGTTGCTATCTAGTCACAATAACTACTAGATTACCGTCTTTTGTGTTCGTCAATTCAAGGCAAATTCGAAAAAACATTCTTGGTTACTGTAAGGTTGCTTCGAGAGAATTTTAATAGCCTGCAAAGAAGAATCAAGAGTCAATCAAAGTTTTTTAATGCTTCTTGCCTTACAAGATTGAGGATCGTTTGAATAAGGAATGCTAATGGAGAAAGTTACCCTTTCATTGCATGAAAGTAGATATGAAGCAATAAATCTCTGAGAAATAAATCTATTAGTCAAACCACCTTACATTTAAGAAACTTTTTAGGCTTAGAGGTATACAAGGTTTTTAAATCCAGCAGGTATCTTCATGAGGTTTTTCATGTTGGCCAAGGATCATTTGAGATTGTAGTCTACGTTGTGCATGGCATTTTGAGCTAAAACCCTCTAAACCATTGTAGTATTCACTCTTAAACAATTCTGCGCCTTAGAGAAAAATTGCATCACAGTATTTTTATCCCAAATGCAAGGAGTAAAAACCTTTGACCCTGAAATGGCCGTATGTATCTTAAAAGCAAAAACAAAGAACATCTTGACTCTTGAAAAAGTTCTATTTTCGATCAAAAATTTGCTGCAATTCGGTTCAAGAATCACTAACTTTCCTATTTAGGGAAATTAATGGAATGGCGGCTATAAAGAAAACCACACATTCAAAGTAAGTTGTCATTTTTACATGATGAATTTTTTTGCTCATGTCTTCCTGTGTTAATTGTTCATCATTCTATCTATAAACATTCGAGAAGAAGCTATTGCTAATGATTGTAGGCTGTTTCTGCTATAGGCAAATTTTTTGTGGTACAAACATAAATACGTGAGCCCAAAACAGGCCTATTGAATTATAGAAGTCTATAGTAGGCTTCTTATCGAGTGCAGCCGTTTATGACAACGTTCAATGAAATGTGACAGATTGTTTTCCATTCTGTACATAGAATTGATGTTGGATTGGTTTTAGATCTAAACTCCTTCGATAGCCATTCAAAAAGGTATGTTGCACACTTCTGTTAATGTTATCTGCATCACATCTAAGTTCATTGAGCGATAAATAGGTAATATTCTGAAGTCGACGGACCGCCATCCTTAATCTTTTTATCATACTTACTTCCAATCTTTACAAAATGCCCTTTATGTTGTAATAGGCCATTATCCCCTTCCCGCTGTTGCCCATGTGTCCCTGGCCGTGATTCCAAAGCTATTTGTGTGGTAAATGTATATTTACAGTGTCTAGCTCTATTCTCTTGTATTTTTTATTGCGTAAAAGAAGACATTTTACTATCTACAACACCAAAAATGTTTGCCGTATAGTTGGTCACTGAAGCTATCTGACAGAATTCAATTAGACAACAGTGAAGCTCTGAAATGCAAGTTATGCAACATTGTTTGAGGGGAAAGGGATTTTTTATTAAAGGATATTTGTAACATTTGGTGTAGTTAGGCCAATACTTCGAATTTAATGATGTACAAGCTTCTTAAAGGCCATGTTGTTTGGTGTCTATGCAAAGAGATGATGCTTGCCAGGTTCCAAAACAATTTTGATTACTTCTAGCTAACTAAATTTACACTATACACGAGTCATTGTTATATATTGTTAATTTTCTGCCTTGCTTCAGACTTTCTTTTGAAACCAACCTTGGTAATTTACTTTTGTATTGGCTTGTGGTTTCTTATGAAAATTTGTTAATCAGCCACTGTCTTGCTTTGACTGCCTCATATTCGATAATTTTTCCAGCAGTGGCTTAGATATTCTCGAAGGGAGACTGGGCAAGCAGCCTCTGTTTGGCAATAATCATCTTAGTCCGGTTAGTTGAATTTGCAGTAATGGACGGATTGCGGAACTTTTGTGTGTCATCCGATAAGCCTTCACCTTAAAAGCATACAAACCTTTTAAATTGAAGTTGACTTTTTCCAGTATCCATATCAGGGTATGTTACCTTTTGAAATCATTCGATATCTCATCAGTTTGCGTATGTTCGCCCAGAAAATGCTTTGTAGCGAGTCATCGTTGAAAATATTTTCACTGCTATAAGCTCAATTTCACTGCTTTGCTGCTTAAGATTTCGATTAATTTTAAGTAATTTGAATCAAGTGTAAATGATATTTACGAATCCCTTTCTGTCGTTTAAACTCGTTAGATTGAAGCAGTTAAGGTAAAAGGTAATATCCTATTTTTTTTAACCTGCATATTTTTTATACAGTTTATTCGCTTGTTTGTCATCTTATTTCATTTGCAAACATAGCTATTACATATAGCTGTTTATATTTTTCGAAAATGTTTACAACGAGACATGGGATGTTCGAGATTGTGTTTCATATCACGTTTCTCTTTTTTGTATTGGCAGGCATTTAAGATGCTTGCATGTGACTTGACGTAATTTTGTTCAGGTGACATATCTGAGGTCCATGGATTCTTTAAGCCATTAGTGCCGAAGTTCATCTGTTTAAGTCAACGTATAGCAAAGTATGTAGACTTCTCCGAGTACTATTTATTTATTTTTTCGCAAGAATTATGATTACCAGTTGTTTCCTATTTTCTGGCAGGAAATAACTACGATTACATTTGAAGTTCCTGGCAATGTTGTTGAAGCAAACCTCGATTTATGGCTTCAGGTAAAAGGGGAAATACCAAATTAGAAATATTTGCCTTTGTGCTGTTTGAAAAATCCACAACATAAAAAACACGCAGGCTAGAGAAAGATTAAAACTTTTGGATTTTTCCAATGTTTTTCTATAATTTTCAATGAATAAAACCCTATTTTTCAAACCTTTTTTTATAAATTTAGTTTGATCCTTTGAGCTTGTTTATTTATCGTTAAAAGATTCATCAAGGTTATTTGTAACAGCTTCATTTAAGCCCTTTCTTCTTAGAACTTTGCTGCCAATTTGTTTTGTCTTCATAGATCAACTTTAACAGTCCTGGAAGTGTTATAACACTATAAGGTGCCAAACCTGTACAAATCAAACTATTGCCTGAGATAATCTTCTTGTTAAAATAATCAAGATAAGTCTTTGGTACCGCAAAATTTGGAGATAGCATGGAAAGCGGAACATTAGCATACCTCAGTTCTTTCGTCAGACAATTTTGATAAATATTTGCCAATCTGTCTTCATCAAAAGATCGCGACCTATGAAGACAGAAAGAGTTTCTTGTCTCTTTTGAAATCTTAATGAGAGGTTAGCGGTTGCTGATTGGTCAAAACAAGGAACCAATCAAATGCGTCATTCTTCCCTCACGTTGCTTTCGATCCGCACCTGGATTTTTATTTACCTCTAGTCATTTTTACTTACCTCTCGTCATTTTTACTTACCTTTCGTCTTTTTTACTTACCTCTCGTCATTTTTACTTACCGCTAATCAATTTTACTTACCTCTAGTCGTTTTACTTACCTCTAGTCATTTTTACTTACCTCTAGTCATTTTTACTCTTCTCTAGTCATTTTTACTTCCTTCTAGTCAATCTTTTTCTGTTATTTCATCTAGTCTGTTACAAACTTACAATCTTGGATAGGTTTATAACTAGTCTAATTTAATCTTTTCTACACGAAAGATAATTTTCGCTTTTTCAATATTTTGTTAAAAACCCTGTTTCTTTTCTTACAGGAACTTTTATGGGAAAATAAATTCAACGAAAAAAATAAAAAGGAAAGTAAAATCTTGCGACTGAAGGTAAGGATAAAATACTTCGATGCTCCATGAACATTGCATGAAACTGTGTTGTGTTAGAAGGACACTGTAGTAATGTAGCCTCATTTTAGCAGCTCAATCATATTGTTAAATGGAACGAAAATTTATCGATATTTTCAGTAATATCTTGAAGATACCAAGCGTTACAGAGTTTGTTGGTTACAATTTAAAACTATATTTATCACAGTTCGATATCTGCATTTCTTTGTTCTGCTATTGTTTTTGTTCCATCCTTTTGGTTCCGTTTTTTCGTTTTGGATTTTTATTCCGTATTTACTGGAGTATCCACTCCCAGCATCCTATCAACTAGCTGTGAATGGCTCTGACAGACAGATACCTTTCCGGTTCTTTTGTTCCTTCCTTGTGTCCCGGACCTTTGGTTCCATTATTTTACTGCATTGTGTTGCCTGGTTCCGTCTACTTCTTATAGCAACTTTCTTCTTATATGTTGTATTTTATCAGCTAGATAAATACCTTTTATATTCTTAGACTAACATATGAAGTTCATGAGTTTTTAAGCTTTCAAAAAAAGTGAAGTTATATTTATCTAATTGTTACCTCCAGGGTATCTTTTCGGTGGCTGGCCAAGGATCACGATGTTTTGTACAAGCTGTCTGTGAGATTTACGACAAAGTTTTCACTGCGGATTGGGAAAATAACGAGCGAATCAACAGAATCATTATCATAGGTTTGTTTTTTTCTATCTTGCCTTGTATATTTGCGTGGCATGATTGTAAAGAAGGTTCTTCTGCGTTTCAAACCGTCAGATTGCAATAATTGGTTTCAAAGGACAATTTTTCCTGTTTGGTTAATATATTGAGTTGATGGATGTAGAACGACAGCTCACGATTGAGTACCAAAAGGATCATTGCCATCAAGAAGCTTTTATTCCTCTAAATTTGTCAGTAGTTAACGTTTTAGTGCACTTCGAACAAGCGTTTGTGTCCTTTGGCAGAATCTATTAGCTATAATGATACCGTTGCTATTGAAACTTGAATTATTGCATACAGCCCTTTAATCCACTATTGGCAATAAGCAAGAGACCAGATAATCTTTTTGACGTTTTTGCTGAAAAGACTTGCTATTGTGTATCGGAAACCCGGATTTACTGGAAAATTTCATCATCGGAGTTCGTTCAGTCCAAAAAAGATGAGAATTTATTGCGAGCGAGTTCCTGTGGTTTCCTGTTAAACTAGGACTAACTTTGAGCTAGGCAAATTCAAGCAAATTCTTGTTGAAAACCAATTCGCTGCGGATGTCGCGTCAGTCTTGAAGCTTGAACCTTACCCTGTATTTGCAAACGGGTTTTATTGGAATGTCCTGTCAAATCATCAAAAATCAATAAAATTGTTATAAAAATTGTTCTCCTGCCGTGAAGCCTCGAGTGATCCACAATAATGTCTTCTTCTTGTCAACTCTTTAAAGGTGCACTACTTCGATACTGGTAGATAAGATCAAATAAAAAGCTTCAAGCAGAAAATCGCACATACAGTTCCTGCAATAACTCCTTAGAAGTCTGCCAAATATTTACTACATATCGACTTTATTATCTTTCCCAACGGCCTAATTGCAACCTATCGTACGCATATAATTTATTGCAAAAGCAAGCGAAGTGCAGAGCGCAGAGAGCAGAGAGCAGAGAGCAGAGAGCAGGGAGCAGAGAGCAGAGAGCAGAGAGCAGAGAGCAGAGAGCAGAGAGCAGAGGGCAGAGTGCAAAGAGCAGAGAGCATTTGGCAGGCTCGTAACTGTGTTGTAACTTGGGTGGGACATAGGTGTATGCTACAGAGAGAAACATGTCTTCAAATAAGAATATGTCAGTTATGATTATATGTAATTATGTTTACTCAAGAGAGAGAACCTCTCTCCATGCCGCGTGCTCCTAACTCTGAATCAATACTAACGATGAGAGGGCGTAGAGCGAAGAGACGCCTGAAATGCCAAATATGGTGAGACCTTATCACCATGTGTCTCGGGGCCCTGTACCCAGATTGAGGGTTTCAGTCTCCTTCGGAATACTATGAGGGTGAAGGCTAGCACTAAAGCTTTCTCAAAACATGCTTGCAAATTGTTCAAAAATGGATCTACGTTAGCATGACTAAGCAAGAAGTAACCGATTTTAGTTTCTCCAGGTGATACTATTTGGTAATTATTAAAGGTTTGAAGAACAATTTATAAAAAATTTTTTGTATTGAAGATTTAAAAAAATATTAGTTTGTTTTTGGAAGTGTCAAATTTCTTTACACATTAACAAAATTATTATTTAATAACATATATTCATTTTAGGTAAAAACCTAGACAACGATTGGATAAAAGAAAGTTTTCGGCACCTTGTTGAAAGATAGATTTAAAGCATGTAGTATGTTTAGTCTTTATAAAGTTTATCGAATTTTCATGTGGAAGACATCTTGTTATTTTTGTTTATTTTACTTCCCATTCACCTCTTTCACGTAAATGAAATAAAAGAAGTATTTTATTAACATTCAATATATATTTTTGAACAAATCTAGATTTTTCAATGCCCTGTTTAAAGTGAAAATTTAGTCGTTGACTTCGACTTCCTAAATTTTTCCTAAAATTTCCTAAAAAATTGGACAAAGAACTTGATATAAAACAGCTCTCTTAGAAAAGTTTGTAAGTAGTAGCTCAAAGATATTGATATTTTAAGTCGTTAGAAAGAAGCCGTGGCGTAGTGAGGGGGAGGCAAAAAAGGGGGGACCAATGCCAAAAATATATTTTAAAAGGGGGCTTTCTGGCGTTCCAAAGAGAAGGACCCCATTTTTCCCGCGCTCAACTGGCCTTTATCACTCCCCCACCCCACCCCTACCGGAACTTACCACCCTGGCACGATACTGAAAAGAGGATTCTTGCATTTAGAACCAGCTTATTTGGGTTTTCAGTGTGCTCTCCCCAAGGATAGTCAATAGCCAACCTATACACACTTTTCTTTTTATAAGAAAAAATTTTGTAAGAATATTTGACTTGAAATTGGGCAGCTTAGGAAATAAGTACGAACAATTGCTAGGCTCAACTTTCATCGACAGTTTGGATTTTTATCTAACTGAGCGAGAACTTTTGAGCAAAAAAAACAATCATGACATTCAACCAAAAATTTTGAGGAACACTTATCAGATTTGTATCGTGCTAGTATGTTTTAATTCCTAAATTATTTAATGATGACGAAACACGCGGAAAAATTATTTAATTATGACGAAACATGTGGTATCGCTTAAGAATGACTGCAGAATAATTTTAGGCTGAGAATAGCAAGTGTTTAAGAATACTGAGGTTCAACAGCAATTTAGAGATTCTTGTATAAAAAAGTATTAAATGCATTTACTTTGCAAACGTTACTTAAACTGTTCGATGTAAATTGTTTAGTAAAGAAATCATCAATCACTAACAGAACCAATCAGTCAATCACTCCAGTCAGTCAATCGTTAGAATCAATCAATCAGTAAATCAACTCGCCCTACTCCATGATTCGCAAATTTCTCAAGTTAATAGAATAAATACTAGCTGAATCTGTTCTAGCATTAATACGGTGTGGCAATAGCAAAACAGAGGCTCGCAGAGTAAGTCAAAAATCATCTTCAAAAGCTTAAAAGGCTATTTGTTTATCTAGAAATACTCCTTTCTAAGTGGGCTGATTTTGAATAATTTGGTTACCACACGTTGTAGGGTTTAATAACTTGGTTACTAACATTTTTGTATAGCATGCCCACTATTGGATATTCGAAAGTGAGACAGAATAGTTATCAATTCGAGGTACTTTGAATATGTTACGATAGGATGAGTCCCGAGTTTATAGCATGTTTTTTTATTTTCGCTGCGAGTCTGTCTTTCGCGCACAGCCCTTTCAGGTTAAATTTTGAATAGCCTTACCTCCGCCATATTCAGTTTGAACTGCTTGTTTCAATCTTAGGCAGCCTTTCCACTAGCCTGGGTTAAAACATATCCGGGTTAAAAGTTATCCGCTTCTACGTCGCGTTCCCACTAACCCACTTGAAAAACGGATAAGTTTGAAAACGGGTCTCAAAGAGGGGAGTTTTAACCTGGGTATCTTTTGACTCACCTGCGAGTTAACGGAAACGCCGAACCCGGATAACTTTTGATCCACTTGCAACAACAGCAACGTTTAAACATTGAAACGGCGCCAAAAATCAAAAAACAAAATCCTGGATATCGATGTTGCTTCCATTGGCCTACAACGATAGAAATTGAAAGATTTTTGATGCAAATACTGATTTAGCTTACAACTTTTCACCCTGGATACATTTTAACCCGGCTTAGTGGGAACGATCAAAAATGGATTAAAAACGGGTCGAAGAAAAGTGCCGTTTCCATTGACTCACTTTAAAAACAGATAACTTTTAACCCATTTTTGATAAATGCATGCGCGTAATCTGTAGATCTCATCTGGATCCGATCCCGTGTAAACGCATAAGGTTTTGGGTCGTATCTTGTGTAAACGCCAGAGATCGGATACACAAGTACTTTTGGATCCGATCTGGCCCAGCTCTCGACTAAACGGGGTCTAAATGTAACCCACACCAGTGCCCTCCGTCAACCTTATCTACGTGCACCTTGTAAACCAAAAATGCAATCCCAGGGCGATATCCATTCAAATTTAAGTCCCAAATGGAAAGTCAGCAATGCCCAGGAGCTCCGAGAAAATAGAATGTAGCGCTAAAACCCGGGCACCCCGGGTACCACAGCCTCTAAGAAAGAGATGGTCGAAGGTAGCGGTTGTCCAGAAATCGCTTTTTGTAGAGGGAACAAAGAAATTACCAAGGTTGGAATGAAGTTGGATTCCATGAGAGCGCTAGCAACTTTTTACGGAACTTCCTTCAATTCGAAAGTGGATTGTTTACGCGTTTCACTGTTTGGTGAGAGAAGTGAGTTTCACTGTTTGGCCCACTCCATGTCCAATGTTCCAAGCATTCAGCACATTTGTTGCAACCAAGGCCTTGGACAGAACAAGTCGCAAGCGGTAAGTTTTAATTAGCCCATGTTTGCCGCAGCTTCGCAATCACTTTTGCATATTTTTTATCACCTTCAAATGAGGTAGGTTATTCCTTTAAATGGTTGATTGGGGACGGGATCAGTCAGGTGGACGCCGTTTGCCTTCCCCTTGCGATCTAAAAACAACAAAAATGAAACGTTTGTCTTGCATTCCTTAAATCAACGTGCCTTTCCTCAAAAATAAATGCAATAAACTTTGCATTCTTAATTCTATTTCCAATCTGTCGTGGATCATCATAACATGCATATTCGTCCCTCATAAGTTATCTGAATTTTGCAACTTTAGCACCTGTATAACGCATTTTTTCCGGTTTAAGTGAGTTTTGAAAGCGCGTGATGAAGGCACACGATTGAGCTTTATTTATTATAGCTAAGGCCTTGTTCAAACGTCGCACTTCTCATGCGCCAAACCTAACTCTGTTTGGAGCGACACTTGAGCATGTTTAGCGCGACTCCCGTTTCAAACGTCGAACTTAATTATGTCGCGCCAAATGGGTTTTAGGATTGTTACATGAAGTATCTTGGTTAAGGCGTGCAATCTCAAATATTCGTTTGAAACGCATGCGCCCTTCAAGAAAGAAGTGAATTCTGGGAAGGAAAATAAATTAAATATAATTATGCATTAAGTTCGGTACATGACAAGTTTGACGCTTGAAACCGTGCCGTGCTGGGGCCGTGCAGTTCGGCAAGCTCTGCCGATCCAAACTAGTCTGCTGCTCCTAACTAAATCTGCCGTACCAAATTGATTCAAACGTCGCGCCCCTCATGTACTTAATTCTCGAGTTAGGTTCGGCACATGAGAAGCGCGACGTTTGAACCGACCTAAGCGACTTTTTGATCACCTGATCAAGCCATCTTGATTGTCTTCTTGAGCGTCACTGACTCCAAGGTTTAGTCTTATCGAACACATGACTTGTCAATATTGATCACATGGCTGAATAGAATTGACCATCAGCTTTTCTTTTTGTTAGGCTGATTCTGCTTTTTGCTGTAATGTAAATAGGATAACATAATTGCGATCATTCCCTCGGGCTTTCCATTCATCCCATGATGCGAAGCGGTCTTTGCCTTGTAACTGTTTCAATGAGAATAGCCTCGGTCTTTATGACGTTATTTTTTGGCATTTTTCAACATGATTAACAGGCACGCCGGAGCTTGGGGGCTAGGGGACTGTAGCCCTTTTTTGCTGCAGTATTGTATCAAGGCTGTGCACCGAAGATAATGGTGGCAATCTACCATAAAGGTTTGCAAACTTCTCCCTCCACTCCAAAATGTTCTCGGGCGTCCCTGAAAACGATATCTTACACATAGGCGTAGCCAAAGGAGGTGTTGAGGGGGTGCAGAGGGGGTTCTACAGTTGAAAACTTTGTAGATTTTAAGTTTATTGTCTATTGATCCAAAGTATTAAATTTCAGAGATAGATTAATAGGAATAAAGAAATTCATGCATTATATACTCCATTCCTGTTGTCATCCACTCTAAAAAATTAGCTCTAGATTTCACTGGAAGCAGTTTGGTGACATCATTTTATTGCCAACAATCACACTTAGGCAGAGACTGATTTAATGGAGAGTGTGGGAAGAGTGACACTGCCCCCAATATTATTGTTTTTCCGCCAATTTTGCTCAATTTGGTAAAAGGCATTTGTTGTGATGAGTATTAAAAAGTTGATGCAGAAAGTTGTTTTATCTCCCTATCTTCTTTATCATTAAAAATAAAAACTTAAGTCTAAAAATGGGTGTTATGAACAGTTTCCAGTCACCTGAAGGGTGTGACACAAAATGCAATAATTATCTAACACCCTTCAATCCTTGTGGCTTAAAACCGCCCCGCACTTAGGAACACCATTTTTAGGGCAAATTTTGGGTCTGCTCTCAGCCCCCAATTTTCGCCCCTGGGCTTACATAAAACAAATCATGTTAGCATTCTAAAGTTACACGAGCTCTAGATTTATGCAAGGTAATTTGTTCATAACTACTACCTGTTGAGAATACAGAATACTAAAAATGTTCCTTTTTTCAGAAAGTAAAAAGTGAAAAGCTTGTTGATATGAGCAGTCGTTTTATATCAATTGAGGTCCTTATTTATGATTTATCAATTGCAGCATTACTTCCTACCTTGTCTATTTAATTTGCTAACATAAACAAATCTGTTGTTAAGTGCTTTTTGCCTTTTCTGGCAAATTCTTTCTATATCTGATTCCAAATTTATATGAAATTACAGTTAGAATAACACAATTGTAGGATCTTTTCACAAAAATTTGACCTTTGAAGATTAAATTGTGCAACTTATAATTTAAAATTTTCAGAAAAAATTAGCCTTGTGATTCTGAAAAACAGCAACTTCTCAAAAAGGTTGTGGCTATAACAAGAAAAGTGCAATTTTCAATTACCAATTGGACATACCAAATGTTATGTGGTCAACTAATACGTTAACACAGAAAACCCCAGCTTGAATTCGGTGCTTAAAACAGATAATTTGAGATTAATTAGGAACAATTTGTCATGGCACAAAAATTGAAAAATGTTCTGAAAAAAAAATATCTGAAAAAATTGTGGCTTTTGTCTGACACTCTTCAGAACACATCGAGTAAAAAGCTTCAGTATATTTTAAAATGTTACTTTGCTTTTCCATATAAAAAAGAAATTAGGAATAAAGAAACTAGGCATTTGTAGTCTATGAGGGGCTTTAGAGAAAATTTTAGACACACAACAATATTTTCCTATACATTCTGTGAAAGTAATTAAGTTTTCAAAATTTGAAGGTGCATAAAACCACAGTTTCACAGTATAAATATCCGCATCTTAATTTTATGTTTTATATGTACTTTTTAAAGTTGCTATTGAATCGTCTAACAACAAGAAGCAAGAACATTGCTCTGAATGTTTGTACAACAGCAGGCAGAATAAATCTCCACATAAAATTGGAAAATTATTGAAGCAGTAATTAATCAAATATTTTACATTACTTCAAGAAGATTCCTTAGCAAAATGTTTACAACTTAGCAAAATGTTCACAACTTTGAAGTAATACTCAAGCACTGAACATTTGCCACCATTGTCATGGAAACAAAATGAGCATGGGGTTGTTTTAAAAATGGTGCCACAGATTTGGAGAAGTAGATAGAAAAACAGAAAAAGGCATAACAGCTCTGAAAATGCTAAGTAATGCTTTTATGCTGGCAGCAGAGGTGGCATGAAATTGAGAGGGACCAAAGGACTTTGCCCTCTAATACATTTTAAATGGAAAATTTTGTCCCTTTTTACAAATAAACATTATCAATGTTTCTAATTGTTGTTGATTATGGCCCAAAGGTTGAAAAAGTTATCCCTCAGTCCTGGTCAGTATGATGTGCAAATGTTGGGCAACAATCTTCATGCAACCTCTGTTATTGCAAAGAGGGACTGATGTGAAAGCTTTATGCTACTATTTAGAAATTCTCAGAAATAAACCTCTAAATTGGTAACGTGAAATCACAGTTAATATTTCTTAGAGAAAAATTTCAGAAATAGTATTTCAAGGTGGTCTGGGATGCAAATTTTTTTAGCTTTTTATAAAAAACAACTAAATAGCAAATAGAGATAGGGTTTAAATTGTTTTACATATTGACAACATTGTGACACAAGTGCTGGTAACAAATCATCTTGAAACAACTCAGATTTCATCTAAGCTTCTTTGTAAAAATCTAAAATGGTAATGTTTGTGTTGGATTCTTTCAAGTTTCTTCGAATGGTAATAATACCTCAACCCACGTGAAAGTTTCTCATAAGTCATTCTTTTCCTATTTTTAAAGTCCCCCCACAGCTTTGCCACCATTTCTGGACGACTAAATTTGAACTCTAATCTTTCTTTGAGGGTCCACTGTATGTATGCAATATATTTTTCATCTTGTAACAGCTGCCAAAGAAAATCATCTAGCATTACTTTCTTCTTTTTGGCTGCTGGAGCTGGAATGGAAAAAGTAACACTTCCAAATTTATATGCGATGCCAAAATGGGGAGGGTTAAAGTCAGTTGGCCTATACTGTAGCTTTCAGGGATTTGGGTTGGGCCACCCTCTGTGTGATAAGTCAACCCCTCCCTCCTGAATAGAGACCCAAAAGTGTTAGTAAAGTTGTAAGAATCAGTGAAAGTAAAGTGGCCCTTGTGTGGTGCTGTAAAGTGAAGTGCTGTTTTGGAGCCTAATATTAGGTCTTGAAACCCTTGACTTATACACTAGTATTCAGATTTATTTTATTTTATCGAGATATAATGATTGTTTTAATCGTGTATTTATTGGTTTCTCTTCGATTCCCGGGTGTGCAAGGACCGTGCTTTTCAAAGTCGTCAGCAGCATTGGCGGCAATGCCAACTAACTATGTAGTAGTTCGAGATTGATTGCAATCAACACAAAGGACCTACAGAGAAACGCGCTAGAGCCCGTCGAAACAAACTATGAGAAGTTAGATTTTTTATTGTCAATTTAGCCATGAAACTCTTTTTCAATTCTTAAACGGTAAGCAATGGGGTCTCTCGTTTAGGCCATCTCTATCAACTTGCAGACAGTCATACTTAAAGTGAAGTTTTTTCACGCTACTTCAAGAAACGTTTGTATACCTTTGACTTTCTGCTTATTTTCTGCATTCTCCTCTAACTGGCGTTTTCTTACATTTGTTTCTGTTTCTTCTGAAGTCATTTTTAGCAAAACGAAAGTACGTTTTTCAATGAAGATGAACCGACCTTCTTACTCCTCCTTAGCGTTTCCTGTGCATCACTGTTCAGTTTGTTTTGGTTTCGCATGTGATGTCATCGAAGCCACAGTCACTGAATGGCGCGGGTTAGTTTGTAATCCCCCAATCCCCCAGGGGCCTCAGGGGCTTGAACCCGATTGTTAATGTCAAAATTCAAGCAATTTCTACTACCTGGATACAATTTTACGGTATTTTTAGAGAGTCTCGCGCTTGAAATCCATGTCTAAATAACGTAACATGGGCTGTCCCATCTAAACTAGCATAACTTCCAGTTTCACAAGTATTCGATCAAACTATATATCACATCATTTTGTGAATATTTCTTGAAGGCACAAAAGGTAGTTGTAATAAGCTGGATCTCAAGGGGTACTCTCTCAGGGGTGTAGAGCCAGGGGAGCTCAAGGAGGTCCCCCAGTGTTATTTCGATAGCTCCACTGTGCTCTCTATATCGGAACTGACATTATATTGGCTAAAAAGTCCTTCTGCTTTCATAAACACCTGATTTCAAATTGGCTTGTAGTCAGTGGGGTAGCGAGGGAGAGAAAAGAGGGGGCGGAGCCCCCCCCCCCCAATGGCAAAGAGAGCATTTTCGGGCGTTTTAAAGGGTGTGGTCCCCAAATGTTCCCTCGCTTTGCTCGCCTTTACCCCCTCCAATAATACCACACTAGTTACGCTACTGCTTGTAGTGATAGTGCGTGAGCTTGAATTAGTCTCCTTGGGTGCTTATTATTTTGGGCACTTTTTAGATGGGGACTGCTGGGGGCTGTCTTATAAAATCTAAAATTTGCCATACACACAGCTCTTTTCGTAGCCTTTTCAGGATTTTCAAGTTCATTTCATTTGCAATTTCACTTAATAATTTTCTAAGCTATCATACCAACTGTAGATCAAAAAGCAAAAATGTATTTTAGATTTTGCCTTAGGCAGTCTCGTTTAATTAGTTTATTCATGCGGGCTGAATGTGTTATCAATCCTATCAATCCTGAACTAAATAAAATGGTGTGTCTTTCTGCTATTTCTCGATGGGGGCTTATCAAAACGTAAAATATTTGCATTAAATATTTGCGGGAAAGGGTTTTTTGAAAACTTTTACTTCCTTTAACTTTAACTTCTACGCAGGAGTGATTAGAGAAAATACAGTAAATGTTACTAGCAAATGTAAGAGCTTTAGAGTTCAGAAACTTTATGGGCCTATCAATACTATCAATTTTAAAAGACCAAAGTGAAATCGTAAACTGTTTAGTGTGACAATAAGATGGTTTAAGTCTTTTGGCTTACCAAGCCCTTGCAGCAGTAAAACCGTGCAAGCTAGTGGCATTTACAGCGAATTAGCTTGCCAACAGTAAATGGATATATATGTAATAAGGGTTTTGAGTACCTTTTTTCTTTGACTTGTAGCTTTTTTGACTCTGACTGTCTTCACTGTCTTTTGTTGACCCCGAGTCTTCACTTTCAAAAGATAACGATGGAGATAAGCACTGCAGTGAAGATTCATTCAAGGTGCTATTTGTGCGAACTTCTTTTTTCAAAAAAGACTTCTCTTCTGCATCATCCCTTGTCTTGTCACTTATTATTGTTTCTTGGCTATCTCGTGAGCTGCCAGCAATTGAGCCCCACACCTCGGTACGGCTTTCCCTAATTGTGTTACTCTCTAGCTTCCCGGATTCTAGGGTATCCTTGCTCAGTGAGGACGTAGGACACTGCTTTTCATCGCCAGTGCTGGTATTTTGATTTTGTTCTTTCTCCTGGATATCTTGCAGTATTTGCAAGTCACTTTGTTTCAACTCTGGTAGCTGTAGGCATAGAATGAGATAAAATTATACCAATAGGCCCCAAGCCCATTTTCTCTCAATACAGTTTGGGAAATACAGCCCAACCACCAAAGTTTCTAAAATACAGGTTATATCCAAACAGTGTTCAGTCAAGATCCTTTAATAAACTCCAACAAATCCTTGTAAAAATCTCTATAACTTGAATCTATCTCTACAGCTCAAACTTCTCGTAATTCGAATAATTTTGTGGATCCCCTGAGGAAAAAAATATTTCTCGAATTTTAAGATATGAGCTCGTGATCAGTACTTAATTCTTTTAGATTCTCTTTACATCTATTTTATCGTAATTTTTTTGCTCTTATTTGAGTATGAATAGGTTTATTTACCCAAGGTATGAGAAGAAAAAGGGAAACTTAACTTGCTTAAAAACCGAGTCCATCCTAAAAAGAATCATAAAAGCTGTAAAAAAACCCTTACCCTTTAGAGGTCAATAAAATCATCAAAATTTCGAAGAAACACACTTTGCTCAATGGCAGAGGAAAAGGAGGGACGGTAGAAGAGAACAGAGCGAAAGAGCATTCAGAACAGAAACGATAAGCTCTAGCCAAAACACTATGAAACACTTATCTGAGGCAAGGGACAAATTTTTGTGCTAAAACCCCAAACTTCAGAACTCTTACCTCTCAAAATTTCCCAAGGCTTACCAAAAACATGAAAGGCGAGGTATACACTAGTATGCTACATATAGATCATTGGAAACATAACATAACTAAAACGTTGAAACATTTAAGCATGTAACATGAAATCGTTGAAAGAAGAGTTATGATGCTTTCTTCTTCCCTTCCCAAGTCTTTAGGGTATTTATGGTTTAAGTGTACTCACAGCAAAATCAAAACGATAGCTTAATATATTCAATTTCTGGTAGACGAAAATTTTAAAATCAACTGACAAATAGGTGAGTGTCTGCCCTATTATAATCCTTAGAATTTCTATTGAGAAGCTTGGGGTATGAATACAGATAAAGGATTCATACAAAGACCGTGATACAACTTTTTGTTTGGGGGGCAGCCCTGTTAAAAAAGTGGAACAACAGCTATAGTTTACAAAATAGAAGTATTTTACCTACGTTACTTTAGTTTTTAGGGGTGGGGGTGGGCAAGGGGGGGGGTAAGCCATCCGGTATCTCGGTCCTTTGTCTCATAAAATATTGCAATCAATTTAAAGGAAGGGAATTAGTCACACGTAACAAATGTATGACTGAATTGTTAAAGCGATTTAAGAATATGATGTTGGTTGCAAGAATATGGCTTAATAGAAATATTCTGAAATGTATTTTAAGCTAATGTAACGGGTGGGATCATCAACTTAATAGGATGCATCATTTGAAGAAAGAAACAAAAAGAAAAAACATCATTTAGCCGTTGATCGATAAAAATAAATGGTCAAAAAGATCAATTTTCCTGACAGCCAAATAAAATCTGAATTTTTAGGCAAATAGCAAAATGATTCAAAGTTTTTACAATCTTCCAAATTTTGCAATAGTATTTTTCTTTTAATTTTCTTAGCATGTTGATGAATCGTTGTCAAACGATCTGTCTTTTGCCCTAAGGTTAAGATGCTGCAAATTTAGCTTTTCCTTTTTTGCTCTTTCAGACAGGACTTTAAAGTTTTTATACTGTTAATGAATGATAAGTCTTAGATAACTTTCACTTGCATGACATCATATTAGCTTTCAAAAGAATACTTTAGAAAGGCTGTGCATAAAGATTTAATGTGTGCCTAAGATGGTTCAGCAGGCCAGGAAACTTAAGTTAACATGCTCCAGTTAAAAATCCGAACCCTCTAATGCATGTTTCGTTTTAATGCGTTTCCATGGGTGTGTGTGTGTGTGTGGGGGGGGGGGGGCGTCTAGGTGCTTGTATCATGTTTAAGCCTCTTATTTCATCAAAGATGTTTCTTATGTTTTTTCTAGCGCATTTCATTTTGTTAGAAGGCTTGCTTAAGGTTGCTTCTAAAAAACATACTTGCTTGTAGTAATTCTATTTCAACGGGTGACTTACCTACCAAAGTATTTTCATGCATATGTTTTGGCTGTTCTCCATAAGAACATGATGTCATCAGCATAATCACAAGGGTAATTATCAAACATCAATCCGATCAGATTTTTGAAAACCAATAAACGGAATATCAATTACTAAGTAAATTGATTAAGATTTGCATTGGTAACAGCTTCGTTTTTCTACGATGGTTGTAAAAACGACGTTCTTTGTGTCCCTTATAACCAAGTCTTAAGCTTTGCTTTCCAAAAAATTTTCGTTCCAAAAAATAAACGAGGATTATGCATTCTCAGAAATAATTGCTTATTTAAAAACAGTGAATAAACTACAAACTCCTTTTTAGCTTGCTTTTTTATAAAGCCTCCTTGTACCTGAGCGTCACCTAGGTCTTTCAAATACCTCATTTACAGCGTTTAATTAGTCAAAGTTTCCAGACAATAAAAAGACTAAAACAGTCCCAGCTAAAAGTCGGAAATCAAAATAGGAATAAACTATCTAATTATAGTGACGACGCCTTCCTCCCCTGTCTTTTTTCAAAATAATGGCCTTGGATCATGGTTGTAGAGGCAGAGGATTCAAGAGGCTGAGTTAATGTTGCAAAGTAACTATTCTCCGAGGCCCCCTTGCTCTGGCAAATGCTTTTCGGGGGGCCCCATTGCTCTTTTCAAACTATTATATATCTGCCGTAGATTCGCAATCTTTTGTTATAAGCCTCTTTTTAGCATTTGGTTTCAATATTATTAAACTTGTGTCGGAATCTCTGAGAAGTAAAATTTTGGAAGTTTGAAAGTCCTGGGAAATAGTGAAAATCAGAGAGATTTGAAAACTGGGGAAGGGAAAGGAAGCAAGGTGGATGGCCTCTTCGTGGTTTTCATTTCATTTATCTAGCTTTTACAAAACTTTTTAAGCAAAGAATGGCTGAAAGAACAATCTGATGTAAGGCAAACATAAGGTCTTGTATTCTACAAAGAAAAAAGGTATGCAATGAAAAATTTACAAAAAGTTTAAACACCAGTGACAGATGAAAGTGTATCTGTCGTTTCTTTTAATTATCTACTTCTTTCCATTCATAACGTTGAGATCATTCAAAATTAAAAGCTAATTTTATTCAGAAATTGTGTTTTAACATTATCTTTTATAATTTTTTTATTTATACCATTTCTTTCCTTCTCAATTCCATGAGGCATACATTTAATTTTGTTATTTGAAATTGCTGAATTTTTCATCCTTTTTCAAATTTGTTTCATATTCATTATTATATTTTTTATTTCCTTATGCACATCAATCTAATCTCCTTTATTTAATTTAAAAAAAAATATTTGAAGATTTCAAGCAAAATATCACTTTGATCTTGATGAAATTAATCAAACTTGCATTGCTTTCAATACTTTTAAAGATCAACGAAAAGAAACAGAAACTATAAATGGAATAATTTCACTATGGTAACCTTTAAATTTTTGCTGTAAAAAATTATAGGTCTATCATTCAAAAACCATGGCAATTTTCTAGAAAATGGGAAGAATTATAGCAGACCTATAAGATTTACCAATAACGAAAAAATTTACTGTTATAATCTTGAGGTTTTGTCTCTAATAGTCATCCTTATATAGCTAAAAACTTATGAATGTGTTATACACTCATGTCAAATTTGAATAAAAAAGCACTAAAAATTAGCATTAAAAAATCTTTAAAAGTTTGTGGATGTCTGATCATAACCTTTCGAATGAAAATAAGCTTGGGGAACAAGTCTTTGTTTATTGGACTTGTCCCCAAGAAGGGCAAAAGCCCATTGTTTTAATAAATGGAGGGTGACTTGGGATGGAGGGGCAATTGCCCCCTTAGTTAAAATGTTGGAAAGGTCTTGTGTTGGATGACATTTATTTGCATTTGATTAGTATTAAGCGATCTTTAATTTTAAACTAACATGTTGTCAATGTAACGAGGAAAATCAATACAGTTGTTAGCAGAGGTAGGAAAGCGTGAATGCTAATGGACCATCTATTAGTATTTGTCGTGGTTCTCGTCTGCTGTTATTACTGCCGTGATCTAACCTAGTTTCCTGAAACTTTCTAGGCTATCTATTACTGTGTTGGACAGAGAACGTTCAATGTCGTTGGATACACATCACGGAAATAGATCGTTGTCCTTAGATCTTCAGCAGCGAAAGAAAAATACATGCTACATTGATTTCCCTAGCATTCTCAATTTCTAGCGAAATTAAGATCTTTTTTACCAATCATTATCAGTATTGGCACTTGACTTCTGTTCTCCGTAAATCGAGCTGAAAGCCAATAAGGTGATAAGCCAAAGTGTGCATCTTTCGAGGCTACATAACTCTACAACAGGCTCCATCTTCATAAAGAAAATATCTGATGTTTATATTTCGTATCCCTGTTATATCCGTTGTTCGCTTAACTAAGTTCTGTTTACATATGCTTGTAGAAGAATAAATGCAGTCTAAATCCAATTGCGAATCTTACACGCATCTCTTTCAAATGTAGTATTCTGCACGATAACTGAATCGAAAATTTGCTGTTAAAAATATTAAAATAAATTTATTCCCAGTTACTTTAAGTTCATTATGTCTTTATGCAACTGTCATTAACTAGTGTATTCTAAAAAGATACATTATTCTTGAAACGATGTTTTATACAGGCAAGCTACAATACCTAAAGCGCACAGGGGTATCTAGGCGAGAGTTCAGTCTAAAGTGGCCTAATTCTCAAGCATACATGCAAGCTTCAAACATACAAATATCGTTGTCACAATGATGATAGTCTAGGCCAAACAAGAAGGGATGAATTAAACAAAAGTGCTAGAAATCAGGCAAGGCGCTGTGCAAGCCATCCCCGCTCACAATGGGCTAATCATAACTTGATATGAGCAATAATTTTCAGGTTTCACGTCAATAAACACAGCTGAAATATCGCAAATGCCATGCATAAGAGATGGCTCTATTGTGGGTTTAGATAACTATTAATTGATAAAAAGTACATATATTCATGTCATTAAGCTAATGCACCTTGAAATGGAAAGGTAACCTGAATGAGTCCTGGCATACCTCGTCGAAATCAATACCTCCTAAAATGGCATCCACCTTTACAGGAGTACACTCAAACAGAGATGTGAAGATGTCTTGGCTGACTGCTCGACTCGAGTGAACATCGTCTATATCATCAAAAAAGAACATCATTCTCCATTAGATAGCAAGTCCTTCTTGTCTCCCAAATAAAATGATCTCTAAAGCTCAAAATTTCAGTTCCCTGTGTTCTTTTTCTATCTTGTGAAGTTGTACTATCAATTTCGAAATGCACATTGCCTAAACGAAATCTTTGCACATCCGAACGAATTCTGGAAGCACCGAATTATTTGGCATTCGAAGCCTAGATTATTAGGCTTGTTAAAAATCAATTGCACTATTTCATGATAATTTGAAAACTTGGCAAATATTTATAAGACCTGGAACACCTTAATAGGCCTTTAAACCCAACCAAACAAGAATTAGGCCCGAACTGCAAAGGCCATATCTGTTAATACAATAGGACTTAAATGTCAGCATCATCTGTTGAATTTTCTAGTGATGTGAGTTTGAAAATCAAAACAGTTTTGTTAATTGAACCAGTCTTTCTTCACACACACTATAAAAGACTAGAAGTAGCATTAAAACGAACTAACCTTTACTTTTGCAAAACACCGTTTCACTAGGACCCGTTTCACTAGCACCCGTTTCACTAGGACCCGTTTCACTAGGACCCGTTTCACTAGGACCCGTTTCACTAGGACCCGTTTCACTAGGACCCGTTTCACTAGGACCCGTTTCACTAGGACCCGTTTCACTAGGACCCGTTTCACTAGGACCCGTTTCAATAGGACCCGTTTCACTAGGACCCGTTTCACTAGGACCCGTTTCACTAGGACCCGTTTCACTAGGACTCGTTTCACTAGGACTCGTTTCCGTAGAACCCCCGTAGAACCCGTTTCACTAGAACCTGTTTCACTATTTCAACTTCGCCAACTAGCAACTTGGATCCAACAACGGCCCTTTGCCTTTATCTGTCAGGCATTTCCTGGCGGTATGAACTACTCATTTGTGCTGTTAGGTGTAGAAAAACTGATATACGAAGCCTACCCCCTATATCCTATGCGCAGTAAAGCAAAAGAAATGGGCAAAGAGATTAAGCGTTTACCCTTGTAACTTACCATGCCACCCTTGCTCTGCTCGATTGCAACATCCGTTTACAAAAACTCATATAGAATAACTAACGAAACAGCGCTTTTAAGAGCTATTTCTTTGGACTGAGACATCGTTAGAAATTTGTGGGTGCCAATCAATGCAATACAGCTACTAGATGTTTGAAACGGTACCAAAGTTAAATATGCTTTACGTACATTGTAAGAAAGTGGTCTCGCATAAACCAAGTACTTGGCCATTTCCATATGCTGGTTTTACTACCACAACAGTACCAGTCGCTTTTTGCTTCTTTTAACAAACCTCTTTTCTTTAGAAGCGAAGTTGAACTCAACTACGACACACGCTTGCATTGAAAGTAATTACTTATCAAGACGTCGCTAACGATTATAATGCTTTGGCAACGGATATTTCCTCAATCTACTTTATGTTCTCGGAATCTTTTTCCTCAGAAACAAGGCAAGAAATCTGACAGGTGGAACTTCCTCAAAATCAACAAAAACACGAATCAAATGGTTTTTGATATTTCATACTTTTCTTTACATGTAGAAAAGGTTTATCAAGGTGTGAGGATGGCTCAGTGGTAAGGGGGTAAGGGTCGCGGACTTCGATGTTTCATACTTCCTTGAACGCCCTCCGTGTAAAACTAAGCATTTGGTCAGTAAAGAGGCAGAAAGGCTTTTCTTTACATGTAGAGCTGATTAAGATTGAGTCGAGTCGCCAGCTCTCTGAAATTCCGGGTGTATGAATTACGAGCAGTGATCGGCATTGAGAAGAAAGAGCATGTTCAAATAGCGTAGGTTCTCAGTATCCTAAAGTTAGATAACAACAGAAACAACAACTGATTTATGGTATGACAACTATCAGTGTAGTGGTGGCTCAAAATTGGCTAAGGGGCAACCAAGCTTTTTTAGCGCCCCCTTAAAAACATAGTACAACTGTAGCAGGGCCCCAGAAATGTGCTTGGAAGTTGGGGGCACAATGTATTCATTGTTAAGGGGTTTCATGAAGGCTGCTACCATTGTTGGCGGAAAGAAAAATTTTGAAAGTATAACATTATAGGGACTGCCGGAAATTGTATCTAAATAATTTCAACATCGATTGAGACTGAAGAAAGTTCCTAGGCAGTATTCACGAACTTTCTTTTATCATTATGCCATAATGTTTAGATCGTAAATAGGTTTAATGAAAGGCATCACCGTGTTTAGCATCAAGAAAAGTTTTACAAATATGACGCTTTCGGACTCTAAAAGCTCATCTAAAATATCTACAGCATAAATTTAGAAACCAGGAAGATCCATGGAAATGTCCATAATTTTTTCTGTATCATTACGCCAACAGTCTCAAGAATCTTAAAGGGTTTAGTGAAAGTTTGTTGGCGGCAAGATAAATTTTGAAAGTCAGTGTATCTAGGAATGACCGAAAACTGCACTCGAAATATCTACAACATACGTAGCTTTAGGCCCAGTGGAGATTTAAGAAAATATTCATATGTACCATAGTTTTCTCTGTTTTGCATTTGAAAAGAACGCGACATGAAGACAGTAAAGGTATTGCAAAATTTTAGGAACACGTTTAACAATAAAACATGAGCATAAGAATATCATTCGACGAACGATTCTACCGAAAATGCCAGACAAAGTGTCTTTGTAAAGTTGAAGCATTATTTCCAAAATTTTATCGTTAAATTTTCCCATCGTATTTTTCTCTCATACCCACCTCCATGAGGTCAAGCAAGTCAATGGGTTGCTTACGGATGTGTTGTTGTTCGGTAACTTATAATGGGCTGCCAAAGGATTTTGGGATGCCAATCCTACGCTTGGTTCCAGAGCGTCAGGGGTCTTGAACCACTAATCTCAGTGTTTTGAACGAGTTGCAAGGAAGGCGTATTGGTGCGGGAGTGCGGAGGAAGAAAGAAAGAGACGAGAGAAAGAAATCTTCATATCGAAATATGCGCCTCTTCAAAGCTCGCCTATTTTAAGTGGCCTATTTCGTTCACATTTGTTTCCCACCTGATTTTGGGGCCCCTTTGAAGAATTGAAACACCTTCGGAGCCCCCTGATTCCTGGTCGCTGTAGGGGTACGTGCCCCCAGGCTCCCCCTCCCCGGCCACCAAGCCACTGACAGCTATGTATGACAATCTTTTAAAATAGCTCGTAAAGCAGAAATGTATACTTACGTGTGACTCCTTAAAGTTTTAACAAACGTCACAGAAATTTTTTGGGCCAAAGATAACTGACAAAGAAAACCTATTGGATTACTATAAAAGCGTGCATCTTTAAGCTTCCAGCGCATATGAACAAAGGGGAAGAGAGATGCTTACAAAAGGATATTTTCCCTTATTTATTCCAAATATTTGATTTCTATTTTTTTTAAATCACATTCTTTTGTCAAAAGATTCAGACACAAAAGGCTTGTTGTCAGCAAACAACATTTTAGAAGAGCAATCTACATTAAAAATATTCTGATAATATTTTAAACCGTTTGTGTTCTGAAAATAAATGATATTGCTAATTAGAAAGTTATTGTTGCAAGTTCTATGTCTGTGCAATGTGCTTTTGTCACGATTAACTTGTCTAAGTTAACGTGAGCCTGGGTTGACTGCTACCCGCCATAGAGGGTCAGCCCGTCTACGGTAAAATCTCTTCAAACGTTTACATGATAACAGCAACCAATCCACCCGAGTAACTCTTGTCCAGGGTAATGCTGACCCGTTGAGTAGGGATTGGCTTTAATGAAGATCTCTCATGTTAAGTCGGGCCCTGGGACGTGTAAATACTTCGAAGTGAGCTAACAAGTTGAACTAACCCGGATGAGGTCAATCCTCTATAGGGACCAGCTGATCCGGGCTCGTGTAAACGTGAATTTTTCAATGCAGCGTGTAAGCCTGGCCCCTAGTTGAATCTATCCCGGGTTCGTGTAACCGGGTCATGGGAAGTTTCCTGTCTTGCTTTAAAGTACAGGACCACTAGTGGATACGAGAGTTGGGAAAAATTCTAATAAGCAAAGAACATTGGAGCAGCTATAGGGGTGGGTCGAAATAGCAAGGCATTGCTATCCTTGAAGATGCCAAATGAAGGTTTTAAGGCACCCATTGCAACTTATGCGACAAATTGGCCTATTCCATGTGCTAGGAAGCGAACAGGTTTTCTTCCTTCTGATTTTCACTCATCAGAACAAAGAAGTCATTTTTAAGTACAATTATGCTGCTGAGCTTGAATGGTTAAAAAGAAGTAAAGACCCGCAAAAACCTCTTTGATTTTTACACAGTTCATATAAGGTAAACTAAGTTGAGAATAATTTTTGAGGAACACGTTTTCAAAACAATTGTGGTTTAAGGCAGCAGATGTGATAGCAAACTGCCCTTCTTGCTTTAGAATCGCCCCAAATTTTGCTGTAAAAATTCTGCTCTAAGAAAAATAGTTGACAGCTTCTTTTGGATTCAACCAGATTTAATTCGACGCAGCGATAAGAATCTAAAGTTATTTGCTTTAGCTAATATAGAAAAGGAAACCCCTTCCCCCAATATGAATTTCATTCCGACGGCATTGACATTAGGATTAGTAGTTCTATCATTCGTGCTTCTAAAAAATGCATCCGCATTGTAAAGGGGAAGGGGAAAGATATTTTTCAAAAGAAAGATGAAAGAATCTGAACTTCTTGAAAAGCCCCAACTATTTCTTTACAGAATTGTAGAACTTGTAAATTTGGACAACTAATTAAAAAATATCTGGATTTCTGCTATTTTGGTTTACACTCACAATCCTGGCCGATTCTAAATAAGAGGGAATGATATGATTGGAAAGCTATAGAGACCGATTACAAAATTGACGGTTGGAGAGTTTCAGAAATGGGTTTTTATCTTTAAAACTGAATTATTAGAAGTAACACAGATAGAAAATTCTAATTCAGAGACAAATCTACAGATGTAAGCGAAACACCCATAACGTGCACTTCAAAAGAAAAGATAACTGATTTCTCGCAATCACGTAGCAATAATTCCAGAACGGAAGTGGTAACTGGCCCTGAAAAATACCTTAAACCAGGACTACGCCACCCAGAATGCTAATTTCGGTACAATACAGGATAGAATTTGTAAAGTGTAACACCTAGGAAGGTTTTATAAGACAACCTATTCACAGAGACTCTTTAATGCGAAAATTTTGAACTGGTCTGATCATAGACAATCTTGACCAAAAATGCTGAGACACTTGCAAAAAAAAAAGCTAATTACAAATCACCCGCCCCCCTTCCCCTCAAATCAATGTTGTAATTGGATTGGTAACCAATGTAGTAATCCCCACTTATTCCATAACCATCTTAACCAACACTGACCCGGGAGGGGGAGAGAGTTTAGGTCCCCAGCGCATATAACATGAAGATATAGCACGTGAATTCCTTTTCTGCTCAAATGCCTCAGCTATTTTTGGCCAGGATTGCAGTTACCGTGAAATAATAAGGAATAAGGCACTGTGTTTTCCCACTACAATTCAGTCAATAGACTTGTCCGCTACCAGATATAATTAGCTGTATAGCTTTTTATAAATACAACGTTTCCATTTTGTACAGCAAATAATTTCATCTAAATTTCAAAGATCTAGAATAAATCTCCATGACGTCATATTTAGTCCACACCACGGCTTTCCCTTTCAACCTGAGCATGCTTATAATGGGACGGAAAAATTTTATTTCGACGACCTTTGAATTTTCCATTTACTCATAAGCTTTATGCCATTCAAGTTTCTATCAAATTCTCAATATTTTAGAAACGTAACGAAAGCTTTTATAATTTTTCAGTTTCAAATGAAATTAATGATTATAAACAATGTCGGATGATCAAACTTATCGTGAAAACCATCCTGTTCAATACGAGGGGTAGACTTGTTCCAAGTCTATTTCATGCTTGAGAGTGGAGTATTTACTTCCCTCCTGTGGACTTCTGTGAAGGAGACGGGCGGTGGAAGGGGAAAAGCGAAATAGACTGATTGACTGTGTATGCTCATTAATTTGAAAATTTCTACTTTTGTTATTGTTTTTGCAACATTTTGCGCAAGACCCCCCCTAATTATTTTAGTAGCACTACACCACTGATCTAGACGTATGCTCTTATACATTGCTAATTGTGCTTGTACAGCTTACTGTAAATCCTCGAATAGGCCCCCAGGGGGCTTATTTGCAAAAATGAATTTTTGGATGGGGGCTTATTCGAGGGGAGGGCTTATTCGAGGGGGTGGGGGGTTATTGAAAAGTTTTGTTTTTTCTTCAAAGATCGACATGAAAATGACACAATTTTTCTAACAAATCTTACAAAGAAGTAACAAATTTTATAATTTTTGATCATCACTAAAGTCGCTATTTTGTTTTTTGGTCTCCAGTCAAAAAAAGTAATACTGTATAGCTATTGCCCTGTGAGGGCTTTCTTGAAATAAGATATTATTCTGAAATCATGCTTCCCTTGAATGATCCCTCATGGGGGCTTACTTGAGGGGGGGATTTTTTGCAAAAATGATTTTTTAGGTGGGGGCTGATTCGAGGGGGGCTTATCAGAGTGGGGGGGGCTTATCAGAGTGGGGGGGGCTTATTAGAGCGTGGGGGCTTATACGAGGATTTACGGTATAAAAATTAGGCTCAATTGTGTAGACGAATGAAACTTCTCTTATTATCTAAACAGTTTCTTTGTTTCAATTTTGCCACAATCTGAAATTTAGACCAACATTGCCACAAGTGAAAGTTTCGTTTTAGTTAGAGACAAGATAAAATATCAAAGACAAGCTATCAAATTACATTTTGACAACTCTATCAATATCATTTTTTAATTCTGCAACCATTGAAATGCTTTTCTACTACTTTAAAGCTTGATAAATTTTTTGACTTTTGAAGTAGTGCAAACGCCTACTTCAATAAATGGTTGCCACTGAAGTAAATGGTTGCCACGCCTAATTTTAAAGAAATGTGCAGTTTCAGCAAAAAATTTCAAACGGCTGAATCTTTGAAATGGTGAAAATACGGACTGAAATTTTTGGAAGTTTCTAAATCATTTTGACATTACAAAGAAAACTTACTACAAAACCAAAGTTTCGAAATCTTTTTCTGCATCATTTTACAAGGAACGACCCAACTAAATCATGTTGTTCTTTGATTACCATATCAAACCCCCCGGGATCAAACCCCTTTCATAATGCTTGTAGAGCTTTCCAATCTTCGATTTCTAAGGAATAAGGAATAGTGGTATTGCTGAAAAATGGCAGCAAGAGAACAATTTAGCAGTAAATTGCTCTGTGGAGTTTATTTACCTTACATGGTTATCAATGTTCTTGCAGATCTACTGTAATCAATGATTTAATCGAGAGAAGGGGAGACAACTAGCTCTCAGCATACTCGTTTCCAATTACTGTTGCCATTTGCGAACTTAATACAACAAAATTGCACAATTACCTGTATATCATCGGCTTCAACAATATCATGTAAGATTTGCATTATATTCTCTTCCATTAGGAGTTCTAATCATTGCTGAATTTTGGCATCACCTCAAACGCGTCACAATTCCATGAAGAAGCAGCGCACCGCTCGCATCCTTGGCTATGCATAAAGCTCTTGGCCTTCTAGATGTTTTTTATTTTCGTCGGCCCTATTCATTTGAGTCAAATACATTATAGCAGCCTACTACTACATAACACAACTAGCAACCCAACAAACGGCGCATATTTTTGTATTATTGTAGTTGCTCGTTGATATTACCAGTTCATATGAGCGTGTCAAATCAACCTAACTTCCTATTTTCGTAGAAATTTGCCACCATGCAGTTTGTAAAACATCAATCATGGGAAGTTGAAATTACTTTACCCCCGTCATGGGAGTTTTAATATGGCTCTATGCTTTTATTTTGTTGTAAAACCTTAAATGTTAACGATCTTAATCCCCCTGAACCAAGCGAAGATATAATCTTGTCAGTTGTCAAGGAGGTATCGTAAACATGGGTTTTATTCTTTTTGAAATCCAGCATTGAGATTTCATAAATACATTCTTTCTTCTTAATAAGAACACACTTTATAAGAACAATGAGGCTCGATTTGCCCAAAAGATAAGAACAAGGCTAGAACATGCTCAGCTTCAGATGAGAAATTTAAAAAAAAAAATTCGCATTTTGAAATTTATGTAATGTCAACAGAACAAAACTATTCAATTTATAAACATAAAAACAATTTATTTTTAAACTTTACCCAGTAAAACGTCTTAGAAACTATATACAGTATGTAACATCTCAAATATTTGCAAATAAACACCCTTAAAATAAGAACAATCTGGTTCTTATAAAAAAGAGTGTATATCAATGGAAAGAATTCTAAAGAACAAGTTGCTTTAAGCAGGTTTTGCATATTGAATTATATTTCCAATGTTCCTGGAATTATCCCGCAAAAGACTTCCCTCGCCACTTCCTTGCTTCTGAATTGCGGCAAGTTTTGAAGTGCACATTACCAGAAAAGATAGCCGTGTCATTAGCAGCGTCATTTCGGCAGGTGCCACCACTGTCATAGACTTGCTCTTGCTGGGAAGGAGACGGGCGGTGGGTGGCTTACTTTCCACAAGTCTATTTCGCTTTTCCACTCCCAACGCCCGTCTCCTTCGCAGAAGTCCACAGGAGGAATGTAAATACTCCTCTCTCAAGCCTGAAATAGACTTGGAGCAAGTCTACCACTGTCATGCTCGATGGAAAAGCGATCTACTACCTCCCCCTACCCCACCTCCTTTCCCATCCTCCAAGGAAAAGCTACTGACATTTGGGGAAACATCCCCTTCCGATATTCCGATTTTTTATAAGAATACTAGAAAATTATGTCCCGTTTCAATATTCTAAAGAAATTTTTGCTTCGCGCCTGAATATATTCTCAAAGTATTCTTATTTTTGATAGTCTGATGTGGTTACAGGGGAAGGCCCCCCCGCCCAGAAATGAAAAAAACTATATGAAAAAAACAAGATACGTCAGTCATGCGATCATCTGTTCTGAAATCGCCAAACAGGCAATTGCTGAAAATGATGTACAAGTATGCGAGCTGAGGCTGAGCAATAAATATTGGATGATTCTGAGCACTTTGATAAACAACATTCTTATAAAAGATAGTTGCTCTGCGGTGTGCAAGTTAAAGAAACGTTAAAAGGTATCATATATCCATGAGAGCACAGTTATGATTAGGTTATGGGTTTTCACGAATCTGCCCGATTATTTGTTGTGATTAACAAAAATGATTGATGTAACCCTCATCATTCCACTCGAAAGAAAAAAGAAATGTACTAATTAACTACCAGCCCCCGGTAGCCTCTAACGCTGTTCCATTGAAATTGCATTTTATTTTTTTCAAGAGCAAAATACAAAGGGGGGGGGGAATGCGGGAGGAATGGATGGTGGATATTGCTACTTTATCCAAGCAGCGCAGTCTATACTGTAAGAAAGACCAGAGACATCTTTTTTCAAAACAAGGGGGTTCCTCTTACAGATGGGTTGTTATTAAACTTGCATAGCGTTCTCTCTCCCTCTAATCTCTTTCTTCAGATGTATTTCACCTGCATATTTCTGGTACTCCCAGGTAAAGAGATTTAAATTGTAACGCCATAGAAATTTAGTTTTGATTTTTTTTTTCAATTTTGGACTCAAAACCTAAAAAGGTGATCCCGATTCAAAAATTAAAAGAAAAGATTTTAGGGACGTCATCATTTTAGACTTGTTTTTAAAAACGTCTTTGAAGGTCCTTCGCAGTTACTGACTCTTCTGTTCTCCGCGCAGTTACAAAGCAACCGGGAACTGTTCCCTTTCCTTCTTAGAAGCTTTGATGATACTTCCTTCTCCTTGCTCTTTTTCCGCTTTTGATCAAAAAGTTATTTTTGCTCAAAATTTAACCTTCGTGTTTCAAAAGGAAAGCATGGAAAGATATTGAAGCTTTGAAAAGCTTGCCTGACTGCTGAGTATGACCAGTCTTTTGTGAACTGACTAAGCTTCCTCAGTATTGGTTTTGCAACATTGCAACGATAAATCCACTGCCAGATGAGAGGAGAATTTTATAAACGCTTGGCTTGACTTAATAGCAGCTTAAATAAGGAGAAAACGTTTGAATGCTGAAAGAAAATACGATTAGAAGAAAAGGTTCGTACTATCCTTTATTGAAACAACGTGTCAAAACAAAGAGGATTTTATTGTTACTGATTTCATATGGCCTAAAGTGAAAAGGACCATTTTTTGGTTTATTGATAAGCATGTTTTGCAAGTAAAGATTTTTATATAAGGGTTAAGGTTGTTTTCCATTAGGCGGAAAAATGTGAGCGGCCCGCTCGGAAAATAAGCGGTTTTTCCTCCTGATGGAAATTGCTTGGCGGAAAATAAGGGATGGAGCGTGGGAGAGACGAGACAAGATGGCCGCCGTAAGTTCAGAAATGAAAATAAAGCTTCTGTTGTTGGTTCTGCTGCGGAGAAGATTAAGAAGAAATGAAGAAAAATACAAGAAAAAAATGTGGAAACAATCTTTTGGTGGTACAAAACTTGTAAATAGCTTTGAAAAAAGCAAACATTTAGTAAACTAAAGCTTTTCGTCTGACACTCTTCAGAGTTTAAAACGTCAGAACATAGATCGAAAACTCTAGGCTAAGAAATATATATACCCAGTTGTGGATCGAAATAGGCCAATCAGAAACATGAGCACATGACTGTAAAGGTTGACCAATCAGTGCCGCTTGCCTATTAGAATGTTACCAATGGAGTCCTAAGGTGAAAACGAACTCCTTTTGTCTACACAGTAGCGGTTTTTTCGTGCTTATGTAGATAGATTCTAAAAATGCTAGGTGGAACGACGATCGGGCTTTACCAATAATCCGAAACATGTCGCCATTATAGTTTTTTGCACAAACTGGGTTTTCTAGCAAATGCTGCCCGATAGCAGAATCGCAGGTCTTATTAGTAATTTTGGATTTGCAAGACCGAGGTGGCTGTTCTCTTTGGGGATGTGTTTTGTTTCTAATATTATATGGAACGTGTTGTTTTATCCTATCCTCCAATCTTTGGGTGGTGCGTCCTACGTAGCCAGAATCACACTGGCACGTGAATTCATACACAACAGAACTTTTTTTTGTGGCAGGAACGCAGTCCTTTTGAATGGACGGAAGGGCCTTTTTTGTACTGTAAACAACACGTGGGTTAACCGCGAAGAAACATGTGGGTCAGAAAAATTTACCAAGACTGTCACTTAAGGGTGAATTTCACTTGTTAGTGAACGAGTTAAGATTATTTGATCATGAGCTTTTCTTTGCTTGTTTTCACATGTCACCATCTACCTTTGAAAAACTATTATCTTGGGTTGCTCCACACATAATAAGACAGACAACAAGGTTTCGTGAGCCAGTACATCCAAATGAGCGCCTTGCTGTGACTTTACGGTACTTAGCTACGGGTGATGCCAAGTCAACAATAGCCTTAAGCTATCGAATTAGCCCTACTACAGTTGGAAGGATTGTTGAAGAGACTTGTAAAGTAGTGTGGATGGTGCTTCTGGAAAGGAATTTTCTATCAGTTCCAAATAGTCAAGCTGCATGGAAAACAATTGCCAAAGCTTTCAATGAAAATGCAAGCCCCTTCACGAAGTGTCTCTGAGTTTTACAATTACAAAAGAACACATAGCTTCGTTCTTTTGGCGACCTGTGATGCTAGTTATAAGTTTGTCTTGGTTGATGTAGGTGATGCTGGGAGACAAAGCGATGGTGGGGTGTACACAAACAGCAAACTTGGCTTTGCAATTGAAAATCAAAAATTGAATCTCCCCCCACCGGAAGTGATACATGGAACTCAAAAAGTGTTCCCATTTCTATTTGTTGCTGATGAAGCATTTTCATTGAAGCAGCATATGATAAAGCCATACCCTTGCCATAGCCTTGATGAACATAAGCGTGTTTTCAATTACAGGCTATCAAGAGCAAGGCGAGTCATAGAAAATACCTTTGGAATCGCGGCTGCAAGATTTAGGATTTTTCGTCGACCTGTAATTGGAAAGGTTGACACTGTCATTGCTATAACGAAAGCCATTGTGGCTTTGCACAATTTTTGATGTCATTGGATGAGACTGACAGATGCATATACTGTCCTTCAAATTTTGTAGATAGGGATCAAGACGTTGGAATGTGGAGAGAAGAGGCCCAGTCTTGTGAAGGCTTAATAGAGATCCAAAGTCAAGGTTCCAATAACTATTCAAAGGAAGCTAAAATAGTTAGAGATGACTTCAAAGATTATTTTTGCAAAGAGGGCACCCTTAGTTGGCAATGGCAAACAGTCAGATCAACTGCTAATAGATTTGATGAAGAATAAACTGGATAATCTCAAACATTTTATTGAAATATTATCAAAATAACCATAAATATGCTATCAGACTCTCTTGTTTAGAGTGAATACCCCCCTTCATATAAGTGACACAAAAACCAGCTCCCTCCATTTATTACTTGAACAATTCCTAAGAAGAACATTGCTATTTAAGAAATTTGACCTGCTTGATAACATAACAATTACTTTGAAGTTTTGGAGGCTTTGAAAAACAGAATTTTGTAGCCTAGACTAGCATAGCCATATTAGCTTTTTTCTTCTTTCCCAAACTCTCTATTAGACAAAAGACAGTTATTCTCAAATAGTGGAGTAAACCCTTTTGGGTGCACAATGCAATGCCAAGTGGGGGTATGTTTCTCTAACTATATCATATATCTATATATAATATTGTATCTATATATTTTGGTCATACTTATAAAATTCTATAGATAGTGATCTTATTCATAGTCACTGTGGCAAATTAGGGGGTTCAAAATATTTTCTCCTTCTTTAAGGTGGGGGGGGGGTGCTTGCAAAATATAGTTGTGAAGCAAAGGCCTTAGTTGTCTTCTATTCTGACCTTGAGAACATCTCTGTATACTTTTGGCACAAAATGTGAACAGAACAGTATTATTATAGCAAATACCATAAATTCTCTACTAAGCCCCCCAGGGGCCTTATTGATTTCAAGCACTCTAAAGGGGGCTTATTAAAGAGGGAAGCCTAAAA